CGCATATGCTTCAGAAGAAGACTTTGGAGATCTTATCACAATTTCCAAAGGTGACACTCTGACTCGACATGATTGGATATTAGATTCGAGTTCTACAAATTATATTTGCTCCGTGAAAGAATATTTTGATTCGTTTCAAGGACTTGAGAATAGTTCTTTGATTATGCCCAATGGTGATACTTGTACCGTAAAGGGTGTGGGAATGGTGAAAATCAAGATGTTCTTGGCGTGGAGCGCACCTTGGGAGACGTTTCCTACGTACCACAGCTGCAGTGTAATTTAATATCCTTAAGCCGGTTGGATTCCAAAGACTGCAAGTGCTCCATTGCAAGGGTTGTCATGAAAGTTACAAAGGGCTGCATGGTATTGATGCGAGGAGAACAGAGTGGAGGATTATATCATTTAGTGAAGGGTACCAATGGTACTCAAACTTCAATTGTTAATTGGACATGGACTCGTGAAAGCAAGATCTTGCGGCAGGTCTCATTGGTGGGGATGCAATAGGGATGGAGAATATGTGTTTCTAAACAAATGAGCGTGAGAATGAAATTCCTGCTTATGAAGGGTTCTCATTGAGGTTCCCATTGAGAGTCACTTGATTGTGTTGGCTTGGTACAGCTGCATGCATGCATTCACCGTGGAATCAAGGTGGAGTTTGTTATTACTTGGTCTGGGTTATGTGTAGCTGGTATACAGAAAACTAATTGACTATTTGTGGATTTACAAGTAGGAGTCTCGTGCATTTGAAGACTTGTGAAATTTTTGTCGAGGAGGAGATTTGTTAGGATAATGGCCAACATGTGGGAGCTACCATCCTTGACTTTGTGGCTAAAAATTTGGTTCCATCTTGCTCATTCTAGAGCCTACTTTGTGTACATACAAATTGTATTTGCAAAGTGAAATTCTTCAAGGCAATCCGCAAATGTTGACTTAACTCGCGGAAGTGGACAACACCAAAAACTTGGAGAAGGAGGTACAAAGGCGGTGTAAAAGTTTATAAATATAGGCACAATTTGCAAATGGGATATAACACAAGATATCAGAGCAGCGCAATAACTCTTTGTGAAGAGGTTACTCTCATTGTATTTGAGAGGTCACATTGTGTGGTGTGAGAGAATTCTTGGTTAGAGTTTAGTATTTTCTTTGTGAGTGATTGGGTATAAAAGGGTTGGGGTTTGTGTGTGACATCTCTTTGCAATCTTTTATATTTTGCAATTCTCCAAGTCTCTAGTGTTGTCTATTTCCGCGTGTTAAGTCAACATTTGCGAATTACCTTGAAGAATTTCACTTTACAAATACAATTTGCACGTGCACAAAGTAAGCTCTAGAATGAGCCAGATGGAACCAAATTTTTAGCCACAAAGTCAAGGATGGTGGCTCGCACATATTGGCCATTATCCTAACAATGGCAAAGAATTGCATGGATGAATGTCTAAATTGTTTTAAATACATGAATGTTGTGACTTGAAGTTGAAAATTTGTTTTTCTAAGCTTAAAAGTGCAATATCAAGTCTAAATGCATCAAAGTGTTTTGAAATGGAACTTTTTGGAAACTTTTGGTCTTAAATTGATATATGCTCATGGTTAAACTGTAAATTTGGAAAAATGATCTTTGAAAAGTTGGAGTTATCATTAATGCATAAGTTGTTGGTTTTCAAAATTTGAAAATGAGTTTTTGGGCTTTGATTTGAAATGTGAAGTTGAGTTTTTCAATTCCTTCAATTGTTGAATGTTTCAATGCATGATTCTTGTGAGAATGTCTATCTACAATTCATGTGAATACTTTAACTCCAAATTTTCAAAAATTTCAATTTTGAACCAAAGCTTTGAAAAAATTTCAAGTTGTCCAAAATGCCCTTAAATGAGTTGAACTTGTTCTATTTGCTCTAATCTTCAGCGAAATGCATGTTTCAAGTGCCATTGAGTTTGTTCTTATCTATTTCTTGATTCTTGCCATGTGTGGGCATCTATTTGATATCTTTTGAGCTAAGTTGTTGAGAACTTGAAATTTTCTTGAAAAATGTGATGAAATGTCAACTTTAACCCAACTTTTTAAAGTCAAATGTTGTGATGTTGCATAATAAGCTTGAAAATGGCCTAATGTGATTTTTCTTGGAAAAAGTGTTGTGCTTATGGAATAAAATGCAAGTTTCTTTGCTTGTAAATACTTTTATCTTAAATTGCACACACTTTTGTTACATTGTTGGTTTTGAAAGCTTGTTGCATTCTTTGAATGCTTCCTTGTTGCAATATCATGACACATGCATATTGGAATAAGTTTGGGGGAAAATTGAATGTTTTGAGTTCAAATTGCAATTCTAGGATATCATTGTCGTTCTTTGGCTTAAGTACACACTTTTGGGATGAAATTGAACTTTGAAATTGAGATTTGAAATAAGTTTGGGGGGAATGTTGTCTTGATATGAAATGTGTTTAAACTTGAACCAAATTGTCAATTGTGGTTAAGTTTCCGATATTTGAACTTGAAATGCCATCATTCTTGCCATATATCTTTGTGTTCATTCTTGAAAGCTTGTATGGGCTTAAGAACGAGGTTCTTAGCTAGTAATTGCTTTTGATCCAAAAGGGGTAAGATTCTCATTTTTCTCATTCTATACACCATTGTTTGCTTCTATATTGCTTAGAAGGGGTTCGTGAGCCATAAGCGATCATTTTTGTTTTCTAATTGCTTAGAGGAGGTCATGAGCCTTGAGTGATCATAGGTTGTTGATTTTGTGAAATGAAGGACGGGATATTTTTTGTGAATGAAGTTTGGCTTGAAAATTTTGCATCATCTCTTAAATGCTTTATAGGTTGCATACCATGTTTAGAATTCATATTTGAACTTGTTCATCATAACATGCCTAGGATTGAAGTGTTTGCAACTGCGTATTCCACTTAGTCTCTATTTCATGATGTACATGTTTCTTGAGTTCTAAATAGACATTTGTTATGACTTGTTTCCTCTATGTCACCATGATTGTTTCATTGGTCTTAAATGTTGAAATTGTAGACATTCTTGGTTAGGAAATGATACGATGTCATCCTAGGGTCTACATGTCTGAATAATTGCAAAATCTACTTCAGTTTTAGGCTTGTGAACTCACGTTGCATATTCTGTGCACATCATGTCCTAGACTTGTCACATTGGTTACATGCTTGCATATATTTCAAAAAGTGACTTTGTTCTGCCCTCTTTGCTACCATTACACCATTTTGCATGTTTGAGATTGTTTATTGTGCCATGATCCATTATTTGTCTGTAGAAGCATGTTCTAGTTCTAAAATGTTAAAAAATGGTTTGAATGCTATTCTTGAAGTCTTCTTGATAATTTCTGGCACAAGCATGTCCATCTTTGTCTATTATCTATTTCTACTTGATTTAGGCATGCTTTGTGCTTCCTTTCAATTACTTACCTCATTTCTAGATCTGTGCACTAATATCTATAAGTTGTTTTTCCAGATGCAACGAAAAAAGACACTTGCTATGAAGAAAATAGCCAGGCCTCCACAGCCCCCTCCATCTCCAGAGGAGGAGCCTTCTTCATCCGGCTGAGGACGCATCATCTTCTGCATCTTCTTCCAGTGCATTATCTATTGACGCACAGGGCCCGTTGTCAGAGCAGCTCCTAGTCCGTATTTTTCTAAGAGAGATCAGGAGCCAGAGTTCATATTCGATACAGATTTCTTTACCTGGTCTGATCAAACCAAGTGGGCCTATGATGAGATGACCCGGCGTGGCATTGTTTCTATTCTTACGCTGAGCAGCGGCATGGTGTACCCGCGGTTGGTTGTATTATTCTACCAGCACTTTCGTCAGGATGAGGATGACCCACAGATCTTTCATACGACTGTGGATGGGCAAGACATTGTCATTTCTACAGTCTCCAAAGAGATAGCCTATAGATGCCCCCACATGTCTTCAGTGGTCACAAAGACTGAGCAGCCTATTTATCCGATTATTCCAGATTATCCTTTAGAGATAGATATGGCTGCAACTCTCTCTCCTCATACAGCCTATTTAGGCAACCCCTATGCAGAGAGGATTGACATTCCCTCCAAGCTTTGGTTTATCGATCCTGTGTCGTTCCGCAATGCCTTTCCATCTTGGCATAATACACAGAGGCGGGAGGGGATCTTGAAAGCTCTATACAGTTTCAATATAGGATGTTGGGTTTCGATTCCTGCACTTATCTAGGAGATTATCCATAAGCATTGGAATAACAAGCCCCGCCGGATGTTATCCCATGACTCCCACCTCTTATCTCTCTTACTCATTAAAAGAAAAATTCAAAACCCCTGAAACCAGATTTTAAGAGAGGTATTAAAGTGACCAATGAAATTTCATTGAATACCAGATTTTAAGAGAGTTATTTTGTTGTTTGGTCACATCATTATTTTATTGAATACCAGATTTTAAGAGAGAGTTATTGAAGTGTCCACTGAAATTTCTTTGGGCTTGTTAAAAAATATATTTATCTATAACAAAAAATAAAAACTTGAGAATTAAGAAACTTCATGAACAGTTTCATAACCGTCCTCTGATGCAGACATCAACGGCTGCAAATTCATAGTTTAATTCCTCTTCATTGCATGACCGTCCAGCCTTCAACATGAATTTCACACGCAGTTGGTGAGAAACAGGAAGGTATTGAGTATGACATTCTTTGGTCATTACCATAAAGTCATCAAAAATTTTGCACCGTTCAATTTAGGTCAAAGTAGAAAGTATTTGGAGTTTGATGGTTGTGATTAACCAATTGACTGATAGAAGAGTATTGGGACCCAGATCGTAGAAAGAGCCGCTAGAAGAACACAAACAGATCTCCAAATGTAACTGGTGACCGTAGGAGAAAAGCCTGTTCAACTGAAATACGCGTTTGGGAACATCAGAACAAAAATTCCAACCCACCAGTTTTTGTGGCTCGATTTTAATGCATCTCTCACACACACAGTCACACACTACCATCCTATAAAAGGACACCAACGGCTCTCAACTTTACACAACAAAACATGACACCTTCACAAACAAATATCTCGCTCACAGACACAAACACAAATACATATACAATACCATAGTATAAAAGGACACCAAAGGCTCTCAACTTTACACACCAAAACATCACAACTTTACACAAACAAAGAACAGAAAGCAAATTAAAACCACCACCCATTTCACCAGAAGTTTCTAGAATACCTACTAGATCTTGCTAGTTGAGCTATCTTCAATGGCAACTTCAATTTCTGCAGCTGGATTTAAAGGAGGTTTGAGCTCTTCCTTCCATGGAAGTTGGGGAACATCAATGGTTGGACAAGATCACATCATGCTAGTCAAGTCAGTGCCCAACCATGTTCGAGTCGGAAAGCCGACACGATCACAAGCTATGATGAAGAATGTGAATGAAGGGAAGGGTGTCTTTGTTCCGGTGGTTGTTGTCACTCGTGATATCATCGGCAAGAAGCAATTCAATCAGCTCAGAGGCAAAGCCATTGCTTTACACTCTCAGGTATATATATATATATATTAATATATACCATTCGTCTTTTGTACCTATATATTTTGCATACAACTCTTGAGGCTACAAAAACGTGGTCCTGCTCAATTTTGGTTACTAATGTCATTTTACACTTAATTTAACGACAGTTTCGAAGTAAGGTGTAAGTGTTTTTTTTGATAGTCCAGGAGGCTATGTGCAAAAAATACATGATAGTACATGGAGTTAAGCGTGATTAAGCCATTATGAATGTAGCTGCATAAATACTTATATATATATATATATATATATTTACATGAACTTGTTTATTTTTTCAGGTGATTATTGAATTCTGCAAATCAATAGGGACAGACGTGAAGCAACGACAAGGACTCATTCGACTAGCGAAGAAGAATGGAGAGAGACTTGGATTCCTAGCATGATTTAAATTAATCATGTACTTCCATTTATTCATGATCAACACATGAGCAATGTTACAAGTTCGTAGTTATATAGTCATTTTCATTTTCCTGAGAAATATTGTAACGTAAACTAGATGTAGTTACTTTCATGCTGCGTAGTTGTAATATTTTGTTTCCTATCATGAAATATATTGCAAAATAAAGATTGTTCATCAGCTATATATACAATGGTCCAAGAAATCATATATGCAGAGTAGGTTTATTTATTTATTTTTTAATTTACCAGCCACGTATACACAATTATTACTATTTCCAAAATAAAATCAACCATGAAGATAATTGTAGGATATATACACCAAAGAGATTCGAGTTTCATATTCTTATTAACGAGCATTCATACATACACTCCAAATGGCCTACTATGGAACTCGAACGCTCGTCTCTTTCTTTAGAAAGGAGAAATTATACCACCGGATTCATATTATGTTGATGCCTTGCTAAGAATTTTAATTTTGTATGAATTATACACTTCATGAGGCATTTAGGCCTCTTATTATGACACTTTCTATAAGTCATCTCACCACCACAACCAGCCGTCGAAAACTAGGCTTGTAAGCTCAATTCAAAGGAAAAATAAAATCATGTTTGACTAGAGGATGCATGGAAGGCCGTAGAAGCGTTCTGTATAGACTTCTGATTATTTTTAAGCAGACCATTGAGATTTGATGGCCTATTTGACAGATTATACAGTCTAGTGGTTGGGATTGCTATAAATTACTAGAATCAGTAGTTCCATTTAGGTCAAATTTTAAAAACTATATGCTAAGAAGATTTTTGTGAACTTAGCAGCACATACCACATCCCTGCACTATAAAAATTAAAGCGTTTTTAAAGAATAGAGAAGCAATTCCAAACACGCTCTTAAAAAAAAAATTTCAAGCTTGCATTAGTTTGTGAAAGAGTCAAACTGAATTTCTCAAAATAACCACCGTGTTGAATTTGAATTCATCATTTTGAACTTGTCAAAATCTGAAATTGAGCTAGTTAAGCCAATATGTTAAATCAGCTGAACTCGATTCAGTTACCTTTATCCGTCCCTGCATACAAATCAGCCATATAGTTTCTCTTTTCTATTTTTTGCCATTATAAGTTATTTCTTCTATTACATTTAATTTTTTTAAGTTTTTTTTTTTTATTGCCTCACCCCATCTTAAATTTGTACCCAAAAAAATGGAGTTGAAAAATCATATAGCTTGTTACTATTAGTAATAAAAACATAGCTAGCTTGTTTGTTTGACTTTTGTTGAAAATAATTTTTAATAATCTTCGTCTGACGTAAAATATTTTTTTTAGAAAATATTTTTCTTTTTTAAGTAAAATATTTTTTTATTTTTACTTTGTCGATATTTAGTAAAGATTTAGGTCGAGATTGAGGTTGAGTCCATCGGGCAGGACATGTAAAATAACTTATCGAAAATTTATAAATAAATTATTTTTGTTAAATTTTAATATATTTTTTTTTTTTTGTAAAATATATTTACGACAACCAAACACCAATAAATAAATAAAAAAATTTACTTCCAAACAAACAGAGCCTAAATTAAGAATTTTTTTTTTTTTTAAACTATAGCAAGAACATCATTTAGCCGCATCACAGGTAAAACGAAGAATTGGCATACTGATCTTATCTGCCATCCCGGTGTTTTAAGTTGGAAGTTGGAAGCTTAGCTCTACATTTTGTAAGATTTTTTTTTTTGTTAAAAAAAAAAGAGAAAGTATGCTATCATGTAGATGCTGAATGGATCCATAAAGGCTAGGACTGTATCGTCGTAATTATTCAATGAAGTCAATTTCAGTCTGATGGGATTATATTGGTTCTTGATCGGGACGGGGGCAAGATGTAAGGTTAATGGAGGTAAAAATGAATTTTGAAAGGGTAATAGTACATTTTTTTAGTAATTTTAGTGGTGGCAAATGAATATTTCATTAGTATATTACTAAAAATGATTAAATTATAAAGGTAAAATACTAAATAAAAAAAAAAATTGCAGTGGAGGCAATTGCCCCATCACCCTTGAACGTCCTTTGTTCTTGATATAGTAACATATGTGGTTTCTCAGCCTAGTGATTACCGGATCTATTTGAAAAAATTAACTTTCTCCAACCCATTCAATGGTCGGCTGTTGTTGAGAGTTAAATCTCTCCTTCATCGTACACAACAAAAACATCATCACATTACGTCAACACAAGCATATACGGAGATAACAATCATACACATCAATACACAACATAATATTTTACATGATTCATCTAACTTTAGGGTTACGTCCATAAGAGAGAGAAATTTCACTATTATGAATTAAGGAATAGAATATACAAACACATATCAAAACGTACCTCAATCACTCACTTATCATCTCTTTTGAGTCTACATATATATACTCGGGATAGTGGAACTACTGATTCTAGTAAATTACTAGACTCAGCCCCAATCTGAGTTCAGATCATTCGATGCCCAGATGGTACAGAGAGTTGCCGATATTGAGCGAGGTATCACAGCTTTCGAGGAGGGATGTTGCACATCCCGAAATTGTCCAGCTCAGCACCGATATGACTGGCTTTCGCCGAGAGGTCACTGAGATATTTCAGCATCTCACGGACCTGCTCGAGCCCCCACCGGATGTTGTCCCATGACTCCATCTCTTATCTCTCTTACTCATTAAAAGAAAATTTCAAAACCCCTGAAACCACATTTTAAGAGAGTTATTAAAGTGTCCCCTGAAATTTCATTGAATACCAGATTTTAAGAGAGTTACTTTGTTGTTTGGTCACGTCATAATTTTATTGAATACCAGATTTTAAGAGAGAGTAATTGAAGTGTCCACTGAAATTTCTTTGGGTTTGATAAAAAATATATATATCTATAACAAAAAATAAAAACTTGAGAATTAAGAAACTTCATGAACAGTTTCATAACCTTCCTCTGATGTAGACATCAACGATGAAAATTCATAGTTTAATTCCTCTTCATTGCATGGCCGTCCAGCCTTCAGCATGAATTTCACACGCAGTTGGTGAGAAACAGGAAGGTATGAGTATGACATTCTATGGTCGTTACCATAAAGTCATCAAAAATTTTGCACCGTTCAATTTAGGTCAAAGTAGAAAAGTATCTGAGTTTGATGGTTGTGATTACCCAATTTACTGATAGAAGAGTATTGGGACTGCTCAATTTTGGTTACTAGCACAATGCAACAAGAATAATATCTGTATAATGACTTTATTGCCCCTTTTAATATTTTCTGTAATTGAACATGTTTCTCTTTAAAAGGACAATAATGTCATACAACTCTTGAGGCTACAAAAACATGGTCCTGCTCAATTTTGGTTACTAGCAGAATGCAACACGAACAATATCTGTATAATGACTTTATTGCCCCTTTTGATATTTTCGGTGAGATAACATATCTCTTTAAATAGGTAATAATGTCATTTTACACCTAATTTAACGACAGCTAGAAGTAAGGTGTAAGTTTTTTTTGATAGTTAAGGAGGTTATGTGCCAAAAAATGCATGATAGTACATGGAGTTAAGTGTAATTAAGCCATTATGAACGTAGCTGCATATATGCTTATATATATTTATATTTACAAGAACTTGTTCATTTTTCAGATGATTACCGAATTCTGCAAATCGATAGGGATAGACGTGAAACAATGACAAGGACTCATTCGACTAGCGAAGAAGAATGGAGAGAGACTTGGATTCCTAGCATGATTTAAAATCATGTACTTCCATTTATTCATGATCAACACATGATCAATGTTACAAGTTCATAGTTATATATATATATAGTCGTTTTCATTTTCCGGAGAAATATTGTAACGTAAACTAGAAGCAGTTACTTTCATGTGGCGTAGTTGTAATATTATGTTTCCAATCAAGAAATATATATTGCAAAAGAAAGATTGTTCATCAGCTATATATACAATGGTCCAAGAAATCATATATGCAGAGTTGGTTGGTTTATTTATTTTTTAATTTACCACCCAGTATACATGATTATTACTATTTCCAGAATAAAATCACCCATGAAGATAATTGCAGGGTATATAGGGATTAGAGTTTCATATTCTTATTAACAATAACACGCATTCATACATACACTCAAATGACCTGTTATGTGAAACTCGAATGCTCGTCTCTCTCCTTGGGAAGGAGAAATTATACTACCATATTCATATCATGTTGATGCCTTGCTAAGAATTTTTATATTGTATGAATTGTACACTTCATGAGACAATTAGAATGAGAGTCAAAATATAGGCTAAAAGAGTTGAAGCAATTAAACAATTAATCAAGATTATAGCAGAAATTGTCACCAAAAGAGACATCATTTTTTAACATTTAACAAAATGACACTAGCATGAACATAAATCTAAAAATGCAATTAGCAAGGTTTAAAATTTTATAGAATAATTAAAAAAATACCATCTGTGAGTCCGAATCCTCTACAGTACATGTTGTACTGTATCGAACAACTAGTGGTGTATTGTATTGAACAACTCTCAACAAACATACCGAATCCCAACATAATTTTAATATGTAAATAAAGAACACATAAATTAACTTATAAATTTGATTCTCTCCCATATCTCTCCGACATAGTTAGTAAAATACAGAATTCGTAAAAAAATAAATAAATAATACATATTATGTTTAAAAAATGTAAATTATAAATCGTAAGACTACACATATATACGTAGATGGATACAATATGAATGTTAATAAAAAAATTTGTGGTAAAAAATATGGTAGCAACTATATATAATTTGTTTATATAGGACAAAACTGAAGCTATGAACATTAATTTGTAGATAAATATGATATTGTATTTGATAATTCAATGAATGTGTGTCAATTAATTCTGATCTTTAGAGCTCACATATTTATAATAAAAATAAAAAATTAATTACTAAAGAAACTAAACACTAAAAGAAAATTATTAGAATAAGAAATTTAGCTTTTAAAAAAATACCTAATAAGAAAATGTAATAAAATTAGAAAAATCTAAACAAAACTAAAAACACAAGGAAACTACCTAAAATTAATCTTCCTCAAAAAATATTAAAAAGAAAAGAAAAAAGAAATCTAAATAATAAAAAAATACTAAATACTAAACAAAACCATCCCACATCAATATAAATGAAAAAAAAAAAAATTATTTTTAATACCATTTTGTTATTGGTTCCAATGATATTCCAATACTAAATGAAATTGTTTATATATGTACACATATTTACATAATTTACTTACAAAAAAATTGATCTTTTATTACTTATTTTAATTATTAATATTTAGTTTGAACAAAGGATTTACAATTATTAATTACATAGTCAAATTAATTTATCTTAACATTTAACAAAGGACCTAAGATTGTATGATACTAGATATGACTCGCAAGATATAAAACTCTTGACTGAAAAAATAAAATTGTTACGTTAATTACTAATTATGTTATTATAATTGCGCAATATTGGAAAACAAGTTTTTTTTCTTTAATAAAATGATTAAAAATTTGTACATAAACTATAATTTTTTTGAATTAGATATATCAATGTATATTATACGCGTATAATACATTTATGGGAATTTGAGAAATTTGTAAAATACTCCTATCTTTAATGTGGACCAAGTTAAAAATTCCCAATAAAAAAATTCCCAGATTTGGAAAAAAATAAAATAAACTCCCAGATTAAATCACAGCCATTAAACAATGACTCTCAAATAACAATCGTCCACTTAAACAATCTCATCCGTCCATTTTTTAACCAAAAAAAAAAAAAATCTCATCCGTCCATTCAGAATACTCTCAACTTTTGCGTACCGACTCTACTCCAATCCACTTACCTATTCTCTTCCTCTTCCTCTCTCATCGCAAACCCCCAGTCTTCGTCTCCTCCACAAGCCGTCGCTCTCGCCTTCATCGCCCTCCCCGAATCTCCAATCTCCCTCCCTCGAATATAGCGAGAGAGGATCCATAGAGAGAGTTAGTAAACATATACATAGAGAGAGAAAGTGATGGATTCAGATCAGGGAAAGTTGTTCATCGGAGGTATTTCTTGGGAGACGTCTGAGGATGTGTTGAAGGATTATTTTGGGAACTACGGTGAGGTTTCTCACACCGTGGTGATGAGGGACAAGCTCACTGGCAAGCCCAGAGGGTTCGGATTCGTGGTCTTCGCAGATCCTTCGATTCTTGATAGGGTTCTTGAGGAGAGACACATTATTGACGGACGAACGGTGAGATTAAACCCTAAATTTCCAACAATAGATGGCTTGTTTCTTGATCCTCGTTTACTTACCAGTTTTTGCTGTTCAAGAATGTGATTTGGGTGTTCAATTTTTTATAGTTCAGTTCACACTAACATATGTAACTGTTTTGTATGTGCGTGTATGTACATGTTTTCCATTGTTATTTTGCTTCTGCGTTATGGGTTTCTGTTGTGATGCTGTTTTTGTTGGGTGTTGATGTATGCGTTCAATTTATCATTATGATTATGTTTAAGCATGCCTTCAAATTTAGGGCTTTTATTGTTTTGATGTTGTGTTAATAGGTAAATTGTTCAGCTCATGTGTAGGTAGATTGTTGTTGTTGTTCAGCTCACTTGTATGATGTAATTTTTGTTGGTATTAATGGGTCAGTTAACTTGTTCTTATCTAGCTATTTTTACCCCTTCATGCTTGTGAGTTTGAGGTAATGGTTGTTTTGATGTTATATTAATTCGGTGCTGAATGTGTCAAATTTATGTATTTTTTTTTTTAATTTTTTTTTTAATTTTTTTTTGTGGGGTCTGTTCAGTCATTTTTTTTGGTTTCAGGGGTTTTGAATTTTTGTTGTTCGGTCTTACTTTTATTGGGTATTCAAAGGTTTAATTTATAGCAAGAACCTTTTGATTTATTCTCATGCTTTTGATTTTTGTTGTTTTGATGTCATACATCATATATGTGGTAGTTTGATATACTTGTTTATTTAAAGTTTTATATATATATATATATATATATATATTTATGTTTATTGGTTCCTTGGTTTCTAATTTATTTTTTTGTTCGTTTTTTTTTTTTTTTTTTTTTTTTTTTTGGGTTTCTGGGTTGAAATTTTAGTTTGTTTATATCATCTCTCGTTTTGGTGATTCCATTTTCTTTCCTTTTTTTGTTGGGTATTGATGCTTCATTATTTAGTTCATGCATAATCACGTTGCTTCTTTGTTTTCCCCTAAATAATTATGTTGCTTCTTTGTTTTTGCCTTTTCCAATATTAATATTTTTGAGTCCTGAAATGTCCAGTCTCTTGGTCATTTATATTTATGTTTTCTCATGTTTTTTGTCTCCTTTTTCAATCCCCCTTTTTTCTGCTGCAGTATTCGGGCATATGATGTTTTGTTACTATTATTTCTGATCATGAGGGGTTAAATAATATGTTCAGCTATAGATTTGTTTTTTCATGTTGACATTCCTTGGGTTTTGTTTTATTGTTGATTAACTAGATGTAGCTAAATTATAAGTGGTGGGTTCATATGCATGTTTAATCATATCTTCACCTTTGATTTCATGGCTTGAGTTCACTTTTTACTAGTCAGTGGTTCTATCATATAATATATAATATTCTGTTTGAGGGTAATTTTTGGTTTAAAACAAGTCCTTCTGGAGGGTAATTTTTGGTTTAAGGCGGAAGGACTTTTGTTGATTATCATGGCTTGAGTTCACATTATACTAGTCAGTGGTTTTATCTTATAATATTCTGATTGAGAATTTTGTTAATGTAAATTTCAGGTCCATCTAGGATTATTTTTGGGTTAAGGTGGAATGAGAAATGCTTCTGAAAATTTGGGGCGCATGCCTTTTTTTTTCTTTGGTTGTTATCCTTTACTAATCTTTTGGGTTTGTTCTGCTACATATAAACAAATATGGTAGCTTAGGGGCAGAGATAGTAGCGGTGAAACCTTAAAGATATATAATCATATAAGTGAAGTTCCGTTCTTAACTAAAATGTGAAAAGGAACGGAACAACATAGGCAATCTATATAAAAAGTGAGTGGACTACTAAATCAGTAGAACTAAACAGAGATCATTTATTTATTTGTTTGTTATTTTTTTTTTGGGGGGGGTTGGGGTGGGGGGATCTTAGTGAATTTTTACACTTGCAATAGGCAAAGAGTGAGGTAGAAGTGCTGTCACGACCTCTTATAGGGAGTTGGGGTTAAGAGTTTGATTCCCATTGTTTATATTAGAGAATATCTACCCTATTGATAGTGGCATACTTTATTTTGTCATATGACTCAAAAGGGCAACTTGTGTACTTTCAACCTCATTTACAAATTTTATTCTTAGAATTTTATAAATTTTTAACTTATCCAAATAACACCTTACATATTTGTTAGAGGGTACATGCCATCTTTAGGAGGTGAAATTGATTATTATGTAGCAAGTTTAGCAACTTTATTGTGTTTTCTACAGTCATTTGAAATAATTTATTCCGTCATGTTTTGTTAACAAGAATTTTAAATGATCTCACTTTCACCAGACTGACACAATTTTCCGATACAATGAACATTGTGTTCTTGCTAAGTGATGGTGATAGATTGATGTACTACATATGCGCTTTTCTTCACAGTGCTCCACTGGAAAGATGGTTGCTGGATTTTTTGGTAGGTTAGTTTGGGGGATTGTTATATTATTTCTTAATAATTTGGCAAATGTAGTCCTGCTTATGTTTATTTAGATTAAAGGTATGTCAAACTATTGGGATTGTTAATTTTTGTTTTTAACATATGTGTGCGCTCTTGTATATCATGTAACAAGGTCTTTGTTATTCTTAAACATTTTATTATGTATGTCAGTTTTAGATGTCTGCATGCTGAACTGCATTTGCTCCAGCATTCAGGTCATAAATCAAATATTGGTGAGTTAGTCACCCTTTGTATGTGTTGGACAACAACATTCTGTCTTCTATTTATGAATGCTGGTATTTCTGGGGTTGGGTTAAATCTATGATTGTGTGAATCTATCGATATGCATGTGACAGTAAGGAATTTCTTATCCCTTTTTGTTTGATTTCACTCTGCTCTATAATAAATCAAAGTATGGAAATTGACTCCTGAACCGGATTAAATTTCCTTTAGATATACATATGAGTGGTAGCTGGGGATAAGTTGGCTTTTGTTGCTTGATCCTGTATATTTTCATTTCTGTGCTAAATTGCCAGCTCTAATTGTTCAGGTTGAGGCTAAGAGGGCCTTATCAAGAGAGGAACAGCAGACATCCTCCAGAACTGGAAACACTAACACTGCTAGAAACTTCGGAGGTGGTGGGAGCTTCAGGACCAAGAAGATATTTGTTGGAGGATTGCCTCCCACTTTGACCGAGGATGGATTTCGCCAGTACTTTGAAGCGTATGGTAGTGTTACTGATGTAGTAGTGATGTATGACCAGAGTACCAACCGACCTCGTGGATTTGGTTTTATTTCCTTTGATGCTGAAGATGCCGTTGACAGGGTTCTGCACAAGACCTTTCATGATATAAATGGTAAGCAAGTGGAAGTGAAGCGGGCTCTTCCTAAAGATGCCAACCCTGGTGGCGGTGGTCGTTCCATGGGTGGGGGTGGGGGAGGGGGTGGCGGCGGCGGTGGAGGAGGAGGAGGTTATCAGGGTTACGGTGCATCTGATGGTCGAATAGATTCCAACAGGTACATGCAGACTCAAAATGCTGGGGGTGGTTATCCACCTTATGGTTCTTCTGGGTATGGTGCATCTAGTTATGGGTATGCTCCTGCTAATAGTGGCATTGGTTATAGTGGTTATGGTGGTTATGATGGCACAAATCCTGGGTACGGTGGGCCTGCTGGTGCAGCTTATGGAAACACTCCAAATGCTGGTTATGGAAGTGCTCCACCAGGTGCACCAAGAAGTTCATGGAATACTCAGGCTCCTTCTGGATATGGTAGTGTGGGCTATGGGAATGCAGGGTATGGGAATACTCAATCTCTGAGCGGAGCTGCTGGTTATGGTTATGGTGGGTATGGAGGAAGTGATGGTTCTTATGGAAATCCAGCTGCATATGGTGCTGTTGGTGGGCGTACTGGGAGTGGCACAAATAGCAATGTTTCTACTGGTGCGGGCGAGCTACAATCAAGTGGTGGGGGCTATGGGGGAGGTGGCTATGGTAATGGCAATGGGAACTCAGGGTATGGAAATACAGGTTGGAGATCTGATGCCTTGTAAGCTTCTGGGGAAAAATGGGACTCAAGCAAATGGACCTCATGGTGGGCGAGTTGGACTTGACCAAGTTCAACAGCAGAGATTTTGATGATACCCTGGGACTTCATCTTTGCTCTGGTGATGTATTTCAGGTGGCAGAGGGGATGGCTCTTTTATGCACATGTTGCGACTGGTTGGATTGCTTGAATTCCAGTAGTTTGAAGTATCTATTTTTATAACTAGTATTTTTGAGGAGTATATTTACCTTTTCTTTAGCGTTTGCTTTGAAGTGTAGTTTTAAATTTGACATGTTGTGTCTGCTAGCTATTTGAAGATTTTGCTTATCATAGTGTTTAAGCTACAGCAGCTTATATTGAACTTCTTTAATGTTCTTTAGTTACAGTTTTTGGCCAACAACTTTGAATTAGCTTTAACCTCAGCCTTCTTATAGCAGGATTTATATGGTATAAAAGCTTTGTGGTTAGCATATATTATTGTAGTCTTTCATTACTCTCTGATATGGCAGGCAGGAAGACATTTGTAGTGAGGCTTCTTACTGGTATGAATATAGTTGATATCTTGTAATGGTTGGGGATAGTCGTAGTGTGCCTTGATAATGATTAGTTGTAGTGTTAGTGGTAGTTGAGTTCTAATCACTTCGTAATGGCTACTCGTAACGTAGTGTTTAAGCTACAGTTGCTTATATTGAACTTCTTTTATGTTCTTTACTTGCAGTTTTTTGCCAACGATGTTGAATTAGCTTTAACCTCTGCCTTCTTATAGCAGGATTTAGATGGTATAAAAGATTTGTGATTAGCATGTGTTATTGTAGTCTCTCATCACTATCTTTCGATATGGCAAGTAGGAAGACATATCTATAGCGAAGCTTCTAACTGATATAAATGGAGCTATAGCTACTTGGGTTCATCACTTCCTAGTGGTTAGGGGTAGTGGTAGTGGTAGTTGAGCTTTGATGAATGGGATAATCATTTCCTCCCTGTATTTGCCCTTGTGTTTGTACAGGAGGAGAGATGCTCAGAGTTCTGAACTGGAGTCAATTGTACATTCATGGATAAACACGAGAGTCGTTTCAGTTGTGTAGCATGGAATGGTACCTGGATCTGCTAGTTGACATAATGCAGTAGCCTGAGACTGTCGTGCCGAAGCCAGGCCACGCTGATGCTGTCAAAGTTCAAGATTGTGACATTTGAAGTATGGAACTTTGCAGTCTTCATCCAGGTTCTGGTGGCTTATGGTTTTTCATAGCCGTGGTATGTCAATAAGAGCAGTTGGGTATAATTCACTTTATAATTTCAGTGTGAAACTAATAATTTAGGCTGCATATCCACATATAAATGCGCTGTTTTACGTAGCAGAAAAGTCACTATTAAAAGTATTTTGCAAACGTTTTCAGATGAAGGAAAATGTGACTTCCTGCTATGTATTTAGACATTTAATTAAAGTTTGTCCAGGAAATAAGCCAAATTTTTTTGGTCATCTGTTAAACATCATCTTTAGCCTTGGGTTGTCGGGAAGCCCTGATGTTTCAAGAGAACTTGCATTGCACGCTGGTGGTGGGTGACCTTTTCATTTATGCATGTTTGTCGTAGTTGCATACTTGTTGCAGTAACTTTTTGTTTCTTACTACGAGATAAATTTGAATGGTTCCAACAGAATAGGAATGATCTCTTGCTCACTGGTAACCGTTGGTTATGATTTTTATTTTTTTTGTTGGTAATTACGGTTTTTACACTTAAATCATATCCAATGGTTAGCATGCGTGGAGTGGAGAAAGTTTCTTGCTCACCGGTGATTAAGAGATCATTGCTTTCCGATAGAACCCATTCAAGAATGTGATTGAAATTCACTTACCTTTTCAGATTATTGTTCACCAAAAGAAGGAAAAAAAGAAAAAGAAAAAAAGGCTTTTCTATGATGCTCTAATATAGCAAAAGACTCTTCTCGAAACTGGATAAGTGTTCAAGCTTGACCTCTTTTTTGGGATATATTTAAATGTTCTTACGCACTTTGTATTTTTTCGTGCCTGATCAAGATAGGAACTCATGAAAAAAAGTGGCTATTTAAGACTTTACGACATGCAATCTCAAGATGGTCAATTGTATTTCTTTTTTCCACCATTGCACATACTCAACCTAGTATTGGGCTGACTTTTGGGCTATTCTGTCAAATCTATGCTCACCTAGTGCTTTTGATGGGTGCCCGTCAGCGCTCGAGGTACCTTTTAAGCTTTAGGTTCTTATCACGACTGATGTCGTTACCTAGCTTGGTAATGGGTTTGTCTGGAGTTGGCTTTATTTTGTCAGTGTTTGTGGTTCTTGGTTTTTGTGGTCTGTGCGGGCTTGTGATGTGTTGCTTTGTTAGTGCCGTTAGGCTAATATTGGGCAATTGTGCATCATCCGTGCAAACAGTTGAAGCCATAGGCTCATGCATGGGTGGTCCTAGTTCTAAAATATATATATATAAAAAAATAATAATAATAAAAAAATATAAAAAAAAACCCTAATATTTTGCAATTGTGCATCATCCATACAAACGGTTGAAGCCATAGGCTCATGGGTCGCCCTATTTATTAGGGCTTAGCCCGGAGCAAATTGTAAATGGGACCGTTTTAGGTTGACTCTCACCGGGCCAAAACCATTTCGGTTTAAGGGATGTGTGGTTTGCAAGTAATTACAAATATTCAAGGTTTAACTTGTAGTCTCTCGTGTGTCAAAGATCACCAGTAGTTTAAAAAGAAAAGAAAAAAAGCAATAGTCATATTTCAAATGTAACTTAGAGATCTGGTTGATGTTAATATTGATCAATATGATCATGTATCAATTAGTCAAAAAATAAATAAAAATGCAATGGTACAATTTTGTACAAATGCATTGTGTACATTAAACTCGAAGTCTTCTCACAAACAAAAAAAATGATAATTCAATGAATGAAACAGTGAAATTGTCAGCCTTTCACGAATGTGATTGATTAATCTTCTGAGGAACAATCCATAATCCGAAGGCAGAGGTTTGATCCCTCTCTCTCTAAAGGACATGTTCATAAGTATCAGCAAAAGAAGTGACATTGCCGGGGCGTGAGAATACAACCTACACAGGAGGGCAACAAATCTTTTCAACATGTTCCAATGTTAAAAATTTAATGTAACCGATCTCACTCGTTGATTACGAGAAAATATACAATACATGGGGATATTTTGAAACGGGATACCCCTCCAAATGAAAACTCTTATCATTTTTCAAGGTGTCAAAATACCCCCTGGGTATTGTATACTTTCTCGATGATTACCATAATTTATTTTAACACCAACAAACTTGTTGATTCATATTTATCAACTAGAGTGGTACATCCTTGTGACCACTGATTTATTAGAGGAGAATTCATATTGTTTCCACTTATTAAAGCATAGATCATAATCAAGCAATGTGCAGACATAGAATGGAGATATAACCTGATAATTTCCAAGCGTACGAGTCTTGAAACCAGCTGCACAATAATCAAAATAGTACTCCCATGTCCGGATGAACTTTTCGTCGAATCCCAGAGCAAGAATTTTGCTAAGAACACAAGTATTAATGTCAAATAATCAATATCTAGGATTTTTCGAGAACTTTATTTCATATATATACAAATTTGTAATAATTTAATGCGTAGAAGATGTGTTTACAGTGCCAAATGACACAGAAATTAAAAAAAAAAAAAAATTGTGCACTTCTCATCATTGAAAGGATGTTAATGGAATATCTAAGCCTGCACGGATCATAGTCCTGATAAACCTGGAAATTTATTATGGTGATCTAACACATGCAATTAGTCTAACAATGCTCAATAATTTTTGAAGAAATGTAGAAATTATTTACTAAGCTCATAATCTCATATACCGAGAAAATGTATAAACATAGTTTGACTGCATAATTCTTCCTTGTACAAACAATACTACATGAAGCTTCTCAAGTTATTTGAGATAGATTTTGACCTACTGCATCACTTGTTATTTGTTTATTTTTTTAATTTAATTTTAATTTTTTTTTTAATCACAAATGAAATAGTAAAATAAGAGGTGATGTAGTTTGGTGTCAGACCTCGAAATCCTTAAATAAAATTATGCTACTTTTAATCATGTTTGCACAATTTCTTTATTGACAATACGAGACTAATTTATTTTACCTCTGGTTCTCCATGAAGCTTTTCCTCCAGCATCTTAGTGTTTGGTAGTAATGAATCCCTATATTTTCCAGGTGCTCAACACTGCAGGTAGAGCACTTTGGTAAATTTTTCTGAAAAGAAGTTGAAGAAAAACGATACGCCTACCATATATATTTAAACAGACAAAGTTAGTCTTTACCAAAGTCTGGATGCAGCAGTCATGGCTGATGTTATTTTACTCAATGAAGGCAGGCATCCACCGGGGAAAATATATTCCTTTATGAAATCCGAGCTTCGCCTGTACTCATCATACCGTTCATCTGGTATTGATATGAACTAAGGAAAAATCAACAACTCTAAACTATTAGCAAATCACTGAATGTTATGTTAAATCAGCATTGCTAATTTAATGAACCGATTTTATTTTATTTTCCAATTCCATTTGTTAGGAAGCTTAGAGGTTATACTAATCAGCTGGCTTTACATTGATTTTCAAAACACAAAGTTGAGAATCCAGTAGTAGGAATCACTATAATCAAATTTTTGTATAAAAATAAGTTAAGTCATCCCTAGGTGTACTTAATTTAAGGAAGTGTCGAGAAACAAAAAACATTTAAATGTTATCACAGAAACAAAGCAGATTCCTTTTAGATCATTTGTGAAGTCAATGCACCGATCTGATTTCTATCTTCCATCTCAAACACCCTTTTAGAATTTGATATTGTATGGGAGAAACGCAAGCTAAAAAGGGCGGAAAAGTACAATGGTCGAGGAAGAAGAGTGCAAGGTAATGTGCAAGAGAAACGCATGCTAAAAGGAATATAGGTTCCGATAGAAGAATTGTAGAATGACATCAATTTCCTCTTTATTTTTTATTTTTTGTATTATCTTTACCTGTAGAACAAAAAGTCCATCTTCTGCCAATACTGAATCACAACAACTAAAGAAATCCTCCATGTATTCATGGCCGACAGCTTCTATCATCTCACTGTAAACAGTTATCAATCAGATAAGCGCGTTCATTTGACTTGTCGTGATCTGATGTAATTTGGAGATGAACTCACCAAGAAATAATCCTGTCATATTTGTGGGTGCTGGGCAATTGGCGGTAGTCACAAAGAAGAAATCTTATTCGATCCTGAGAGCCAAGTCCATTTAAAATAATAAGAGACTTAACAGAAACAATTTTCTTAAAGGTAACAAGATACCGAATGGAATGAAAAGACATAGTGATCAGCTACAGACATGCATGCATTTTTGCAGCTAGCTAGTCACCAAAATATCAGTTAGTAGAATGAGAAGATCATACAGTTTGAGATGTTTGCAAATTATTTTGTAACATTTTCAGCCCCTTAAGTTTGATCAAGATATTACACTTTTGTGGCCAAAAATTGTCAACAAGTTTCTATCTGGCCTTCCCGGGATTGTGGTGGTGTATCTAATTTTAGGCCTTATTAGTCTCGGCAATTCCATATCGTAACAGATACTTATGTTCTCTCACTCTGATGATCATCATATTCCTTTCGATGTGAATGATCAATATCCAACATTAAGGAGCCAGAAAAGAAAGGATTATGGTGGATGATTCCATCATTTCAGATGCAAATTAATGTGCATTATGCTTGCGTATTCACGTTTAGTTAAGAAGAAACTAATCACCTGAAGGCCAGCTTCCTTGACTCTCATTTCTGCATATCTCAGTTGCTCCTCCGATAGGGTGATGCCAGTATATTTGCATCCAGTTCGTTTGACAACTTCAATAGCTAAACTTCCCCAACCGCACCCAATCTCAAGAATTTCATTCTTCTTACTAATTCTTGCCTAGATCGGTCAGGTAAGTTAAAATAAAATCATTTTACTGTGAAATTTGCATGGAAAATGAAGCAAATGTTATAGACAGCCTCACCTTTTCAATAAGTAGAGAGATTTTTCTCATCTGTGCAACTTTCAAGTCTTCACTCTCAGACTATCAAAATTCAACATGGAAATGAGAGTATTTAAAATTTAACAACCTTGTGACGAATTTTATTGTCAAAGATCAACAAATAATGAAGAGATTGAAATCCGGACCTTAAATACTGCACAAGAGTATGTCATTGTTTCATCCAGGAACAGAGCAAAAAGTTCATTACTCTACATAACAAGAAACCAAAAACAATTTGTCAGCTTATACTCTGTGTACCATAAGTACTTGCAATAATATGATATCAAACAGAAATGATAAGAACAATTTTAGGAAAAGTAAATTGAAGTTGGTGCATGTAAATCACGCATATAAAAACAGGTAAGATCTGATGCAAATTGAAGACAACAAAGTCTGTCGAAAGACCAGTCCATAAAATTCTTCTACTTAATAAAACACATCTAGATCAACAAACGGAATTTCTAAACTGAAGGTAGAAATCCATGATTAGAAACCGGATTACAAGTTGTTCCCTGATCCCACCCTGGATCCCAATTCCAAATTTCTCTCCCTTTGAGAAACTACGAGATATCATATTAATTATCCTATTGTATATTTTTTGTGAGTACTTTAACATGCCCAAAGTTCGAGAGCACATTTATATATGCTTTTTCATATTAACTATTGCATTTCATGGGTGAGAGTATGTAGTAGTGAAACGTACATTTTTTTGAGTTTATTCTTTTACATTTATTTATTATCATTCTTTTATGGTATGAGCTTATCATAAAAATGTCTTGATTCAAGTTTCACATTACTCACTATCTCAAATTAATTCTCCTTCATTTCAAAGCTAAAGCTGTAACAATTCTCATCTTTGAAGGACAGTTAAATCATCATACAACTAAAATTTTGAAACATAACTACAAGCCTGCAGACAAATATCATATGGTTATAAACATCGGCCAAGTGCTTCTCTTAACTTACTGAAAGAAAGCATATAAAGTCATCAATTGATGGGTTGATATATTCAATACCAGGTCATAATGCCGAGAGATGTTCCTGCGAGCTTGGGTAAGAGTATTTTGCCTTGAAACATGCTGGAGAAAATACTTTGCCGATGCAATTCCAGCTGTGAAAAACAATGGTGTCCACCAGCCCCTAAAGCCAAAATAGTATGGAAACTCAAGTACTTAAATTAAGGAGATCACCGAAAGTTATTAATCCCTATGACAGAATAGCCAGTTCAAATAATAATTACCTTTTACTATTAGACCTTGAGACAGAAATTCTTGAATCTCTGTTGGCAATAAAAATCTACAGAAAAGAATTCAGGAACTTAAACACCAAGAGAAAGGAGGAATTAGTTGAGTAAGCCCAAAGTGGCTAGAAAACTGAGCATGGTTGTAGTATTCCACCCCTAAACTCAAATCCACATTATTACCATGAAAAGATTCAGAAGACCTTCATTTTTATCAACAAAAGAAAAATCTCCATTAATATATGCATCTGCAAGGCCTAAATCAGCTCGTGTAGCAACCTGCCAAAACAATTATAAGTGAGAAATTCACATGTCACATAATACGTACTTAAATTTAATCACCATTTATATTTTTGGCCAGTTCGTTTCATATATATATATATATATATATATATATATATTAATTCCATTTCTTAGTCTAGTTTTTTTTAATCTTCAACTACATGTGACAAGCCCTGTTAAAAGAAATTTAAAACATATAGAGTGGTCACATACCTTCCAGTAAAATTGTGGATTGTGAACTTTCAGAGAAGTTTTAAGAGGACATTTCTTTCTTGTTCCTTCAAAGGTAAAAATTGTACCTCCTTCCTCCAATAAACTAGGGAGCCAAAAAGTAAATGAAATCAACATATCTCCTTTTAAAAATTTAACTAGATTCCATGGTAGAATTCAAAGAAATCGTTCCAATACCAGGAGGAGTGAGAAACTAAGAAAGAGCACATGAAATTTGATTCAGAAATGAGTAAATAAAGCAAAAGCAGAGCAAGATGGTATGGACGTGCACAACACGAACAATAAAGCTAAAAATTTCCACAATGGAATATGAAATTCTATTGGAGTGGTGGTCAAAAAGTGCAGATGTAGGAAAAAGTTTCAAGAAATTTGCCAATTTGGACTGACACTTTAACAAAAGCTATGGTTGGGTATCATGTAGTTGGCTTGTAGCAGCAAGAGACGGGGGAAAAGAAAGGAAAATCTTGAAAACAGAAGTTTCAGTAATTTAAATTTAAATTTTATAGCAAAACTAATACTTATAGTGCATGAATAATGCAACCAGACAACCGATGTTACATGAACTCAAGTACGAGTATTGGGTGCAGGCGTGTGTCCAAATATTTAGTATTGATATTTAAGTGTCGGGTCTACCTAAATCTCTCCTATGATCAAGTGTCGAATCTTCCTGAATCTCAAACCTTAGTAGTACAAGGAAATGTGTCCAAATATTGAGTATTGATACATAGACACATTCTATGAATTCAAAAACAACATATATATATTCCAATATATACAACCACGACAAGTATAGTCCCCGTAACACAGCAGACAACTATAACCAGTGACAAGTTTGTAGAATTTGGATTGTCATACGAATCCTTGGCTTCCATCTACCTTGTGTTAGAGAATATCATAATAGGAGTGATTTAAGCCTTTAATAAGAATATTGATCGGAGTGACTCATGGTATTGATTTTAGGATATATCATATTGATCAAATGTTTGTACTCTTTCACCGATAAATAGAGGTGGTCATTGTAAACAAAATTAAGAGAATACAATGAAAGAAATGTAGCTGTTTGGGCCTTGTTGTTGGTGGATGTAGGCCGTAGAGTTTCAACACGTTATATTCTTTGGTTGTACTCATTTAAATTTACAAAATAATATTAATGGCTTTATCGTCATGGTGTTGAGAAAAATAAAACTAAAGACAGAAACGAAGCACAAACTGTCAGCACCATAATTTGGCAGCCAATTCATCAATGACATGGACAAATTAGAGAGCAACAAATGGGCAGTGATATGGCACCACAATGGCCTGCCATATAAGTTATGACGTGGAAAGCAAATAATAAGGCATGAAGAAGAATTGTGTGCCATAGTGAAATAATATTTGAGTACCTATTAAATATGGATGGTTGCTGAAGTTTAACAACTAAAACTTGACTAATTGGTTAGGCCCAATGACATGTCAACAAGAGAAGAAGGAAAGTGCTTAAAATAAGCAACTAAAGGTTGACCAATTCAAAAGGGCTATTGACATGTCAGCAAGAGAAAGGAAGTAGGCTTGAAATATTACAACAGAATAATAGTATTCAAATAAAGAAGGAAATACCTCATAATTTGGGTCTCTATAATATGTGCCCTTGGAGCATCTCCAGCGGTCTGTTAAAAAACTCTTTTGTATAAAATATACACTGCCACATATGATTTATAAATTTTTTCCATCTTTAGTAGTCTGTTAAGATACATTGCCACATCACCAATATGTAAAAGGGTTCTGTATTTTACACGGCCCTTTTACACAGCCACGTAAGCATATTTTCTCTCTCCTCCCCCTTTCCCACTCGCGGTTCTCTTTCTTCTCTCTCATTCCTTTACGCCTCTTTGTTTCCCACTTTTAGAGCACCATAGAGAAGAATCTGCAGCTGGCGGCAAGGTAAGAACGATTCGACCATCTTTTAATTTTTTTATTTTTAATAAAAGGTTCGACCATCTTTTATTTTTTATTTTTAATAAAAATAGTTTGATTCATTACTTTCGTTTCATCTTATCTTCTGCAATCATTGCCATAGATTCTAGGGTTTTTTTTAGATTTTTTATCCTTTTACATTCTATTCTAATGAGATAAATATGTACAAGCCAAAGATTAGATATATATTTTAATCACGATTTTATATAATTGTTGTTTGATACAGTTATACAATTTTTTTTCTTTTTTCTTTTTTGGTGATTAGTCAATTCAATCGCAATTGTTGTTGCATATTTTTGGTTGCTGTAGTTTCTACATACTTGAATCTTATTTTATTATTTGTTATTAAGTTAGAATTCTGGTGGCGGGGGGATGGGAAAGTGAAATATAAGGGGAATTATTATTCTTTTCCTAATTGAGGAGGATTGGGACGTGAGGTTTAATTACGAAAAAGTAAAGTAAATCAAGTAGGTTTGTAAATGTTATGTAGCGCTTTAGGCATGGCAAATGGTTGGTTGTTATTGGGGGATATTTTTTTATACAAAAGATATAAAACAATTGTTGGAGCTAAAATAGGGAGTATAATTTTTTTTGTGTAAATCTATTCTGACACATCATATTTACACAAATATATATACACAACGGTTAGAGATGCTCTTAGAAGAGTTCTTACTATACTTCTCTTCTATGAGGCCTATTTCATTTCTAGTTTCCCTTTTGGTAAACTATGAATAGGCCATCTGTTCTACAGTAGATTGTCTTCTCCACTAAAGGTAACAAAGTATGGGACTTTATACTTGTTGGCACCAAAATCTGGCAGCCATCTCAGCAGTGACATGGACCAATAATGAGGCGACAAGTGTTACCAACATGGTGCCCTAAGGCTTGGCCATTTGGAAACATTATCAGCAAATAGAAGAGCGACACATGGGCAGTCACAACACTATGATATGGCTGCTAATTTATGTGAGAAGTGTTACAATTAGGGCCACGGAATTGACTAATTCAAAGAGGGGGCAATGTGATAACAAGGAAGATACACTGGACCCAAATAAGTAGTCATCAAAAGAGGAAAGCAATATGTGTCATATAAGGAGTCAATTTTGCTTCAAACAGTTGGGCTAATTTAAATTCAAAGAAAGAGAGAATCAAGGAGAAGGCGATTTTTGAGCAGGAAAAAAGGACAACTCAGTTGAGAAGAGTTTCTATAAATAGGAGAGATGTATTTCATTCCAACCCGTCCAACACCACACCACAAAAAAGCAATTCAATTGACTCAATGTCACCAATCATTCAATTTAATCCAGCGATTTGATTTCCTTTTGTTATCCTCCAATGACCTTTTCCATTCTTGTCAGTTAATTTCAATTTAATCCTCACCATTTAATTTTTTACTTTTCTTTATTTTCAATTCATTCAAGTTTTATGCCAAGCAATTTTCTTTATGCAATTTTCATTATAAGTTATTTTACTGGCATTGCAATTTTTTTTTATTCACCTTTAAAGTACTTGCATCTAAGGCAAGAAAGAACCTCATTCGAAGTTCTTACTATTCTCTCTTCCACACAATCACTTGAGATCAGCCATCAACCAAAAGGGATAGTTGATGTTCACCAATTTGAGTTTTTTATAACTCTGACACGCCCGTAAATCCAATCTACCATTGGAGCCAAATTCCAAGCGAACATAAATCCAATCAATGGCCTTAGAGTTCTTTGGCCACAGCAAGCGAACATAAATTTGCAGGCTGCAATGCTGTGGCCAAAGAACTCTAAGGCCATTGATTGGATTTATGTTCGCTTGGAATTTGGCTCACGCGGTCGATTGGATTTGCGGGCGTGCCATAACATTCATGCCGGTTGGGGCCAAAGCATTCATAATTGCCCTAACCTTATTTTGGTCGATCTCTATTCCACTTTGATGTACCCCAAGAAGTTCCATTTGAAATTGATCTTTAAGAGGATGATGGCTCATAAGTTGAAGATGAATCCATTGAAATGAAATTGGCCTTTGAGAGGATGATGGCTCATAAGTTAAAGATGAATCCATCGAAATGTTCCTTTGGAGTTGCAACCGGGAACTTCTTGGGGTTTTTAATACATCAAAGAGGAATAGAGATTGACTAGAATAAGGCTAGGGCAATTATGAATGCTATGGCGCCAATTAGCATGAATGCTATGACACGCTCGCAAATCCAATCGACCGCGTGAGCCAAATTCCAAGCAAAGATAAATCTGGTACCCCCCACTTGGTGTTAAAAAAAGTTACAATGCCGCAACCAAAGAACTCTAAGGCCGTTGATTGGATTTACGTTCGCTCGAAATTTAGGTCACGCGGTCGATTGGATATGCGGGCGTGCCAGAGTTATATAAAACTCAAATTGGTGAACATCAACTATCCCTTTTGGTTAATGGCTGATCTAAAGCGATTATGTGGAAGAAGGAATAGTAAGAACTTCCAACGAGGTTCTTTCTTGCCTTAGATGGAACTTTAAAGGTGAATAAAAAAAAATTTCAATGCCACTAAAATAAAGTGCATTAAAATAACTTATAATGAAAATTGCATAAAGGAAATTGCTTGACATAAAACTTGAATGAATTGAAAATAAAGGAAAGTAAAAAATTAAATGGCGAGAATTGATTAGAAAGGAACTGATTTCATAATTGAAACTAACTGACAAGAATGGAAAAGGCCATTGTAGGCTAACAAAAGGAAATCAAATCGTTGGTATTAAATTGAATGATAGGTGACATTGAGTCAATTGAAATTGAATTGCATTGTGGTGTGGTGCTTGACGGGTTGGAATGAAATACATCTCTCATATTTATAGAAACTCTTTTCAACTGAGTTGTCCTTTTTTCCTGCTAGAAAATCTCCTTCTCCTTGATTCTCTCCTTCTTTGAATTTAAATTAGCACAATAGTTTGAAGCAAAATTGACTCATTATATGACACATATTGCTTTCGTCTTTTGACTTCTTATTATTTGGGCCCGCCCACCGTATATTCCTTGTTATCACATTGCCTCCTATTTGAATTAGTCAATTCCATGACTCCAATTGTAGCACTTCTCACATAAACTAGCAGCCATATCATAGTGTTGTGACCGCCCATGTGTCGCTCTTCTATTTTCCCATAATGTTTACAAATGGCTAAGCCTTAGGGCGCCATGTTGGTAATACTTGTCACCTCATTATTGGTCTGTGTCATTGCTGAGATGGTTGCCAGATTTTGGTGCCAACAAAGGCCCCCCAAATTTCAAGGTCTTATCAGCCCTTCCAATTGATAACGGACTTGGAATTTTAACTTCACAAGATAAAGTTCCTTTCAAATTTCAAATCAGCAACACCAAGGCCTTCTTAATCCTCCAACTACCTTCCTTTTGAGATAATCATTACCTAAGAAATGGTGATAGCACAACTTACCTTGTCTTATTAATGCGCGTCTCCTCTCCCATCGCATCAATACAACTTCCAAGGCCAGCTATATATATACGTTACATGTTTCCCCCAAAAATCACTTTTCTCTTTCCAGCTCGCTCTTCGAACTTGTTTTCCTTTTTCAAAATTCAACATCATCCTCTACAACTTCCATGGCTCCCAAGAAGACGAAATCTTCATCCAAAACTGCTCTTCCTCCCCCAACTACTAATTCATCATCACATGGCTATGTCATTGAGAAATCTCTCAAAACCTTGTCGACTAGTAAGTTTCGGCTTGACACTTACGATCTCACCAGTCACCCCTGATTTCAAAGGTTTGGGACTTCCTTGATGAAGCCCCCCAATTTCTCTCTCATTTTTATCCGTCAGCAGATGCCCAACCATATTTGCAAAACTTTTCTCCTTGTGAGAACGGCAATTTGCCCTCTTTCCACTTCAGAACTTGGCATAACCCTAACGATACATGGAAGCTCTTCCAAATGTCACCTTTCACAACTGGAACAGGATCAAGGTTGATCCTGTTGCAATTGTGAAAGGTGAAATTTAGAAGAGCTGAGGCATATATGACGCCATATAACTGAGCAAAACAAATATTGCTCTAGATCGATCCCTAATCTTGGCTGCTGTCTTTTGTTGGTCGACCACCACCAATTCGTTACATCTTAAATGCAATATGATGGCAAACTCCAAGACATCAGTTACCTTATAGGACTCAAATCCTATGGGATTGAAGTCAATTGTTTGTTGAAATAAGAGAATTCCCCTTTTACTTTCCTTTCCAAAACCACTAGAACCAAATCAGTCGCTTCTGCTTATGGAAAATTCTTGTCTTCCGCCATGGATCCCACTCAACCAGTTGATGAATCAGAGCATGCGTCCTTTCTGCTGGCCTGGTTGAACAAGTTCTTGCTTTGTGTCCCAACCGCTCAAGTTACAAAAGACTTCGTGAATGTGGCCGTTGCCCTTTCTATCCTTGCTTTGGCCCCCTTAGTGCTTTCACACCTTTACAAAGGCGTTTATGACCTTTTAAATACCAATTTTGCCCACTATGGTGGCCCTCTCTTGTTGTTCCAGATTTTGCTATAAATATATTCCCCTAAACTTGGCCCTATGGTAAGGCCATCGGCCAATGATCCACTTATTTATGTTAGCTATGCATCGGCTGTCCCAAGGTCTCACTCGTTTGGGGATTGTTCCTCTTTCTTTTACAATGGATGTGAAACCATAACCATCGGCCAATTCGTCCCATTTTTCCAATTGTACTCAAGCATCTCAATGGTTGCTTCCCCACTCTGGCGTATCCACCAAGAAAATCTTTGATGAGCACATGGCCATGTGGGCCAGTTTTTTGCTTGTCAGAGACCTTCATTTCAACACAGGCCCTTTGAATACTCTCAATAGCAAGGTTGGGGGTGGAGTTTTACAACCCTAGTCAGTTTGCCAGACAATTTGGGTTAATCCAAATGATACCCTTGCCTCCATACCTATCCTTCAACAAAAACTTTCATCGGCGTGTAAAGTTCATGGCCGGTTCTCATGTGAATGACATCTCCAACAAATTTACTCATTTGAAACTTGGTTTTAAGTTTCAATCTTTCATAACAAACCCAACCACAGATTCAGGATTCAATCAATGGTGGTCCTCTTATATTGCATCGACTAGGACGGCTGACTGCCTGTCCCTTGTGAAGAAAATCTTAGAATCTTTCAAATTTGCATCGACTAAGCACAGCAGGCCATTCTGGTGCCATATCACTGCCCATTTGTTGTTCTCTAATTTGTCCATGTCATTGATGAATTGGCTGCCACCATGCTGCCAATTTATAGTGCCAACAGTTCATGCTTTTTTTCTCTCTTTAGTTTTATTTTTCTCAACACCATGACGATAAAGCCATTAACTTATACCATCATTATATAAATTTAAACGAGTACAATTGAAAATCACTATCATTATGTAAAGTTAAACGAGTACAACTGACTACATTATCTCAAATTTTTTGTTTTGATCTTTCAGGAAAACAAAACATCTCACGCATCCCACCAAAAGCACTAAAAAACCAGCAACATGCCCACTGACAAATTACATACATGACCAACTAAATACTTTTACAGTGATCATGTTTAAAAGTGGTAAAAAATGATATGATGAGCTCTAGTACATGTATGTATCATTTTAACAAGTAAAAATTAGAAGAAAAAAAATACATGAAAAGATAGAAAATTTTATCATTGGAGTGGACTCACCTTAGGCAACCAGTGGAGATATAATGTTGAAGAAACCTGGTAATAAAAATGCGTGCCCCTGTTTCTACCAAAGAAGGTACCATATGTTTTGGGTTGTTCAGAACAATACAAGTTGTTCTAAGCACACCATGTGCAGCAGCCATGCCCGCCTGCAATAATTATACAACAGTTGTTAGCAACATAATACCAACAACATGAGTTTCTATATTAATTTTACAAAGTAAAATCTATTAAGCAAACAATTAAGAGCAAGAGGTTAGCTAATAGCTAACATTCTTCCCTAGGCAATAATTCTTGGCTTATTATTCTTAATATGATGTAAACAAGTACATGTTTTCCATTTCCTTTTAAAATCCTTGTTATGTGTTTGAAAGCAACAATTATTTGTGTTAATAATAAGAAACCAGGATACCTTTAGCCCATCCTCATGGAAACCATATCCTGAAATAAATACAATACATGAAGCAAGAGAGTCAGTAATCACACGCTATATAACTTACCCGAAGAATACTAGTGTTTTTTAAAACATAAAATACAATAGGCCTTAGAAATTTAGTGTAAAATATCATAACTGCTTTGGATCAAAACATTGTATTTCTTTCATGCACACACTCAAAAGTATGGTTCAAGTCATATGTTAGACAGTAACAATGATTAATCAGTCTTGTGCATTAGTTCAAAACAAGAGTACTCCCCTTGAGAATTTTTTTTTTTTTTTTTTTTTTTTCTGCGCAATCTAGATGGCCATTGAAACATAATTGTTCCCCTTAAAATCAAAGGAATTGATTTCTAATGTGAAACCACTATATGCTTCAAGAAAAAAAGAGTTAAACTGATGTAACAAAATATGATTTGTCTTTTTTCTCCACAAGGAAGAAAGCTCACCCTGGTATGCGCCGCAGAACCATATTCCTCTCTTCCCTTGAATTTGATCAAGCTCAAGAGAAGCTTTGGATGCAGCAACCGATGGGACTGGATGACCAGCTGACCACTTAAGCAATGTATGCTCAGGTGTATAAGGTGGATTAAGAGTTACCAGATAAGGTATCATTGTTTCACCAATGTTCTGCACGTTCAGAAGGTTATGAAATAAATGAGCATTTTAATTTCAGAAAAGAGCTCACTCCTGGGAGACAGTAAATTATATGGCAATTTTAAGAATATGTTAAAACTTGTTCTTTAATATTTCATTGATTAGGCCACTCAATATGCATCTTTCGGTGAGAATTTTGATGCTTTCCACACAAGTCTAAATTAATTTTAGGTGGTGGTTTTCTTTTAGGAATTAGGCCTTGCTACTTCCCTTTCACACTCAGATTTACAAAAGACAACACATCCTCCTTGAGTGGATTTTGATTACAAGAAGCTTTTGAACTAAGGGGCAGCCATTGTGGCTATTTAATATAGTAAAAATTAGAGGGAGAGCATTCCTACTAAAGTCTTTCCAAGGCTGACTATATAGATGGACACCTTTATCTTCGTTAGCATATATTCAAGTTCTATTTAAACTTCTCTCTCCACATTGAATGTATCAGAGTTGATCTTCTAGATTATCCCACATATCTTTAGCATTGGGACAAGGCCGCAATTGAGTACAATATGAGAATCTACTGAGCTAAAAATCCAACTAATTATCTTGGCATCATTAGATTCCCACTGATCTATTGTAGCATTTCAGTCCCAACTTTTATTTTGGGATTGATCCTTCTCTGTGTCTGCGCAATTCTTTCCCTTTTACAAACATACAGATTTGAAACTCCGAGAAAAATAATTCTTCCAATTCAATTTAATGGGCAAGATTTCTGAATTTTATGTCATTTTAAAAGCTTCAAAAGAGACTCGGACAAAATAGAAAAGATGAACAAGTACATGAGATGATGCTATATTGCAATTCTTGGCTGCAACTCAGCCTGAGATTATGCCACCAAGATGCTGAAACTCCTTAGAAACAAGACACCATAGCTATCTTTTTCCTTTTATGATGTATTTTATTGAAGGAAACCTAGCACCTCCTTTGAATCAAACGAAGCTCTGATACCATGATAAGATAAAGAGAACAAAGAGATTTTTTGGGGGAATTTTTTTTTTTTTTTGTCTTTCCCTTAGAAAGACTTTCTTCTTATAGTGTTGAGTATTCTATACAAGGAATGTTTACAACAATCATATCCCAATAGTTTGTGCATTTACAACTAACCTTCCCTAGACCCTGTAGTGGTGGGAGCCTTATGCACTAGGCTAGCATTTTTTTTGCCCCCATGCAATCTCTAATTAGAATCAATCTTACAACTCATCAAATCATGTAATTTGGGTATGCAAATCATCTAGAATAATTGGAAGCTTTAGAGAGGAACCATAGTACTTGGGACATTGTTCCTTGTCCTCTTGGCCACAAACCAATTGGTTGCAATTGGGTTCACTCTGTTAAACTTGGATATGATGGCTCCTTGGATCGATATAAAGTTCTTTTGGTCACTCTCAGAAACTGGCAAGAGCGTGGCCTTAATTGTGCAGAGACTTTTGCTCTGTGGCCAAAATGACAACTATTCACACAGTGCTGCTATTGCAGCTTCTCAATCTTTCCCTCTATGTTTGAAAATTTTGGTAACACTCTTCATCAATTTGGCTTTAATCAGAGTACAAATGATCCTTTCTATGTTTCTTCATCGTCGTGCAACTGGTATCACCATTTGTATATGTGGAGGGCATCAGAATCACTGGAATTGTTATAGTAAGCATTCAACAACTACATGCTTCAATACACAGTCTTTTCACATGAACGATCTTGGAAACCTCACATATTTTCTAGGACTAGTGCATCGGTTAGCTAATGAGATTTTTATTAATCAGCACAAATATGCCAAAGATCTAATTGCTTTGGTTGGACTGGAGAACTCGACTCCAGTAAATACTCCACTTGAAATTAATGTCAAATATAACAAGATGAAGGACAACTACTTTCTGATCCTATGACATATAGGTGACTAGTTAGGAGCTTGGTCTATTTGACAATTAGTAGACTGAATATTTCCTATGCAGTTAATTTGATGAGTCAGTTTATGCATCAAGCTCGGCATCTTTATCTCGCAACTGTCAAACAGATCATTAGCTATTTACTCGACACTCCAGAGCGTCGGTTATTTAATAAATCTGGCTCATCTCTCCAACTTACAGCTTATAATGATGCTGACTGGGCAGGTTGTCCTGATTCTCGTCAATCTACAATGGGGTGGTGTGTGTATCTCAATAATTCCCTTATGTCATGGAAATACAAGAAACAAGAAAGAGGTTCCAAATCTTCTACTTAGGCAGAATATCAAGCCATGTCTTCTGCCTGTTCTGAAATCGTTTCGTTTCGTCATCTTTTCAATGAATTAGGTTTCCCTTGTTAAATCCTACTTCTCTACATGCTGATAACACAAGTGCCGTACGGATTACAACAAATTCAATACTTTATGAATGGACTAAACACATAGAGGTAGATTGTCACTACATTCGGGATGCCTATGTTGATCATCTCATTACTTTGTCCCATGTATCAACAGATTTTCAAACTGCAGATATTTTCACCAAATCCTTGAATAATACTCGTCACCATTTCATAGTTGATAAATTGATGCCAGTTTCGCCAGCTGATGATTTGCATACCCAAGTTAGATGATTTGATGAGTTGTAGGCTTGCTTGTAATTAGGTATTGCATACTAATTTAGATGATTTGCTGATTACTTATAATTAGGGACACTAGGATATAATTGCAGTAAACATTCCTTGTATAGAATAGTCAATATTATAAGGAAAAAAAAAAGTCTTCCTAAGGGAAAGACAAAGAAGTTTATTCCCCAAAACATTCATTTTTCTCTTTGTAAAAATTTCTCAGCTTTTTGGTGTGGCTACGAGGTAGAGTACTTTTGATGTTATATATGAGTCCTTTGGGAAGACCTCTCAATTTCCCTCTTGAATAGAATGTAGCCTTAAAATTGAGAGCCTTTGAAAAGAAATACTTTTCAGGAAAGTGGGCTTGTGGGTATCTTTGTTGTTAAGGTGCCTTCTCTTGCCCTATATAATATATCCATATGTTATCTTAAATTTTATCAACAGTAAATAAGTCCTTCCATAACAAAATTTGTACATATGGTGGAAGCTCTCAAGTAATATTCATTCATTATTGTGGCACTCCCATGGTGAAAAAAATTACTCTAATATAGAATTTCATAGTTTTTCTTTAAGATTATGGTAATTATACAGTTCCACACATCAACACAAATGGTGACCAAAAGTTTCTATTGTCCACCTATATGTGAGGTAAATAATCAAGGCCTTGAAGCCTTAGAACCCCCTTATTTAATAGTAAATTATCGTAGTGACCTGTACATATAACTCTAATTCACAGGAAACAGTGTTACAAACCTGGAGCACATTGAGCCAATATGTCAAACATACTTTGTTATCCATGGTTCCGAGAAAATTCCATGCACTCCATGCTGCTGGGTTTTTGGGCATTAAATTTTTGTCACGATGAAGGAAAATATCACTGCCATAAAGAGTTCAAGAATGATTGTGCATTTTGCGGAATAAACTGAAGAACACTAAGATCAGCTGCAAATCACTATCTTTTCAAACTCCCATCCATCCCAAAACAGAAAAGAAAATTCATCAGAACACCATAAAAGGAACTGTTTTTTGGTTTTAAACTTTTCAAATTAACATTCTTTTATACTCTAGTGAACATGAAGACTGCATATATCCTAATTCTGAAGGTAGCAACCATGGATTTCTTGTAACTCAAGTTGAGAATTTTTTTTTTACTACATATTAATAGCATTGACAAAAACACTCCAAATTGAATCTGCAACTTGTAATAAATTTTAAAATATAAAATTTTATAAAACAAGTTGATTTGAAGATAAAATCTCAAGTGGATAAAAATGTATGGGATGATAAAACAATCAGGCTGTACAAATTGGTAATAAGGTTCATCAAAGCAAAAATGAATCGTAGCTGTTAACTCGAAAAAAGAAAATGGATGAAAATATTCAATTTTATCCCATCTTAGCCAATCCTAGAAATAGAGTGGTTTTTATATATAACCTTTAGCTAGATTTTTCACAAATGGTAGCAATCTTAGAAAAATGTAATACAAAACTGTCAAATGCATGGAAATGGTAATACAGTACCTGTAAACATACTGGAAAGCACCAAGTATTCTAATTTCATCATATGTTGCTTGTTTCCCTAACATTTTCAGAGCATCTGGAGCATGGGCGGCTATTATGCAACCATCGTACATTTCTTTTGAACCATCATCCCGAAATATACTGCAACCTGCAAAACGCCAAGTCTTTCAACATTGCATACAAATATTTTGCAGCTATAAAACTGTTAAAATTGCTTATGTTTATCACAAACTATAGTTTTCTCAATATTAGATCCCATGTTGCAAGAGCATGAAAGCAAATCTTAAACAGATCTCTCAATGAAATCTCCAGACTGTCAAGTCCGAAACCTAACCTCTCTAAGGATTGTATCTACATTTCTGGTTCAGATAAGCAATCAGTAAAGATGTTATTAACAAATGAAACAGGAATGAGGCTCTTAGATTTGCAGTTAGGTACTTCCGAGGCCATTGTTATAAATAAAACTCAAGGCTGAGGATTGTAAAGAAACCGTACATAAAATTACCAAGAACATTCAAAGTTGGGCAGCCAAGTCTATTACTTATGCCGGCAGGGTGCAGCTTATTAGAGCAGTCATGCTTGTTGTTCAAATTCACTGAATAGTGTTTTAATTCAAATCTAGAAAGTAATTAATGAGGTTGAAACCTCTTTAGAACCTTTATGGATGGAATAATAATGAAAAACGCTACAATAAGATATAGCTGCTACCTTGTGTACTCCTAAGAAGAATGGGACTTGGGTTTCGAAGAACGAGGATTGGGAAAATGAATCAATGAAAGGACGTTGACCAACAAGATTCCTTAAAGGACTAAATGAGTTCATAAAATACTGGCGAGGGGCAGATGCTTTTGGGATTTGAATATATTCCCGGACTGCCTTTGAGCTTAGGAAAATATTTTCATACTAAGAAGGAAAATCAGAAGCATTGTACGGGATATGGGAATTAAAATTCCTACGTCTTGTTAATTAACTAGCATTTCAGAAGCTCACTGATGGAATACAACAGAGAGAGGATTGTCTTTAATAAAGCCAGTTCTAGAAATTCCAAGGTTGCAGATGTTCTCTGAAAAAGGCCAATTGCATTGTCCATTCAAGGTTCCTGCTCTAAGAGTACAAATTATTAGCTCAATTCTACATCATCATCCCTCGTCAATTGATAGGGAAGACAAGGCTACACTAACATCTACACCAAATTTGGAATTTTCCTTGCCAGACAGCACGGGAAGCAATCAAGGGTCAGATTTATACAGTTGGTAGTAGAATTGTTCTCACTAGGAACTCATATGCAGTGGTTTACTCTGTGTCTTGTGCTAAGGGGTAAATTGACAATTCTAGATAAGTTGAGACAGTAGGAGACTATGAATGATGCTACATCTGATGACATAAAGGAGTCAGCCGATCACTTATCCTCAATGAAGATATGACATGTCAATAACTAGCTGAAAAATGTGGTACGACTAGAAGTAGATTATCCTGGAGTGAGGAGGCTGTATGGACTGCCATTCATGCAAGATGTAGGCACTTCCTAAGCATCACTAAAACATTGACATTAGCAACAATGTTTCACCATTTACAGAAATAAAGGAATCAAAAACTTGTAAGAAAATAAGCAATCCTCCAGCAGAAGTGATGAAAGGGATATCCTCTGATGTCAGAGCAACCCGTCCCCCTAGAGGAAGATTTCAGATATAACCTGAATAGGAATCTATGTTTGAAAATGGAGCTTGAAGTTAGAGCAGACTCAATTTGCATTGTCCTTTCTTCTCTCTTTTATTCTCGTCTTGGCTATTTTAGTCATGTTTGGAGGTGTCTCTCTATAAGGGGCCATGCTCCTTTATATTTTGTAAACGAATCATATTTTTGGCATATAATACAATTTTAACTACCAAAAGATAAGAAGAAAAGAAAAAACTACTCACCTTCATCAGTTGTTGAAACAGAATGTACTTCACAGCCAGTTCTTATTTGACAACCTCTACTCTCCAACTCTTGTCTAACCTATTTGTTAGTTCCACAAAATCAGTTACAAGCAACACAAGGCATGAATATATCACTAGGTGCGAAGTAGACAATTTTGATGCATCCAGTGAATGACAAGAATCACCTTATCGACATATTTATGTGAACGCCATCTGACAGTAAGCCACTGAGGGCGGCCAAAGAGCTGTCGAATAAAACAAAACAAACTTCACATTTCAAAATACTAAGACATAAAAAAAAAAAAAAAAAAAACCAAGTAGCATATAAGTTCACCATCCTAGATGACGACGCAAAGGTTGATAACAATGAAATGTACCTGAAGTAAATGATGATTGCGGCAAAATGAAAGAATAGAATAAGCAGAAAAGCCCATTACTCCTTCTGAAGGGCAGGACCAGATTGAAGCACATATTGGAACCTATAGAAATTTATCATTTATAAGTTTTCAGTAGAAAACATAAAATTGATATACTATACATTTATCCCTCAGTGTTCTCACAAGATAAGCCTTTTGGAACAACTCAGAGTAACCCCTTGACTTTATGAAGTGCCCCAATGTTTCATTGCGGTCAATGTCCGAATTGCTGTCAAGCACTTCAAGATACCTGCATTAGCACGAAATGATCGATAACTAGGTCTTGAAGAAGAAAGGCCGGCATGTGAAAAAATGAACTATCAGTTGGTTCATCCAGAATGCTTATAGATGTCATTTGGAGTTGAATTTGCATCACAGTACTTCAAAGTTCATGCAAGTTCATATGCACTAGTAAGGTCAAAGTAAAATGCAGAAGCCAATAAGGTGCAAATTAGTTGAGCTATATCACCACCACCACCATTATCAATACCATATGTATCCAAATATGTCTGATCCAACATCTACCAAGCAGGCAAAAGCAAAACTATACAATTATGTTCATTAAATTGCATTAGAGACTTAAAACGAGTGAAATATCCATGTCAAACAGTATGTTACATAATAATATCATTTCCAAAAGGGTAAAGTGGAAGGAAAAAAAAAAACCATAAACCATAAATTACAGAATGTGCAAATACCCCACCCAAGGCATCTTGTCAATTTGAAAACTGAAATGTCTAAAATACCCTTAAGACGAAATAAAAAAGACCTACTAATTATTAAGGATATTTTGGAGTTATAACAAAAAAAAAACATTGATCAAAATTAACCAAGGCAATTTGTCCATATTTTCAAATGTTAGAGATTTATATAAGCATAATTAAATATAAAAAAAAAAAAAGAAGAGTTTTTTGCAATTTTTTTATATAGCAGAGGTGATTTATTTTTTACTTAAAGGGATTATATATATATATATATATTTTTTTTTTTTGATAAATTTACAATCACCACACCCCACGTGTACTTCAATCCAAAATTGAAGATCCTAATTTTCGAATTCAAGGCCTATTAGCTGAGTTAGGTGAACAAATAACTGATGGTTAAACTAACAATGAGTAAAGACTTGTACTTACTTGATAGCATCATCCTTGAACTTGACAACTTCTCGAAGCATTTGCCAGAAATATGGATTGAATGCGTTAGTCTTCTGTGCAAACAAACTGGGCAATCCATTTCGGCTTCCCCACTCGCAGCCTCGGCCTTTGTCTAAGCTCACCGAGAAGGACATATCAGAAACCTCCATTTCAACTCCAAGGCTCTCGAAGAACTCCATCATGTTTGGATATGTTACCTGCCCAATGACCCGCCATTGTTAAGTTGGCCAAGAGCTGAACCAAATGTATGTTTACTACCAACAAACCTTTTACAAATCATTGATTTTTTATGCTCTGACTCTAGTTATAGTGGTGTTTGGATGGAAACAAATGGGAGGAAATGAAAGTTTTGGGTCTAAAAATGAGAAGGAAAAAGGAATGAAAAGAAGTAAAAAATGAATGGTAAACGTTATGCCCCAAATCACCTGTAAGAGAGGCCATTGGCACTCGCACGTGTGGACACAGACCCCCGTTTGAGAATCGTGAGTCAAAGCAGGCAATATAGAGCGTTACATGATATCAAAGATTCAAAGTCAATTCTCATCCAAAAATGAATGAATGGGTACAAGTACAAAAGAGTGGCCGAGAGAGATTCTTTGCGTTTATATGTGTGGACATTCTTAATTATATAGACACGTTTTGAATACACAAAATATAAAATACATAAAAATATGTACAGATTATAACCCAATTGTGAACATCTCAGAAGAAGAAATAGGATGCACAAATCTCTCAAACCCACACGGGTACTTAAAAAAAAAAAAAAAAACGAACCCACCCCATGTGCGGTAGTTAAATGGTTGTAGCACACATGGGACTGAGAAATTCCAATTGCCCAGGTTTTCGATTATTGGATATTTTAAAAGACATGACACTATAACTGTTGGAAAAAAAAAATAATAATAATAATAAATTTGTGGCGAGGAATCAAAAGAAATTATTGTTTTATTAATAATATGACTTTCATTTCGAAAACTGTGACTTAAATCGGCTCGACTTACAGTTTTCAAAATAAATATTTGATATTTATTAGAGGGAGTAATATAAATATATATATATATATACATATAAAATCAGTTCTTAAATCATTATAGGTCCCACCTATCTCAACTGTATTTTTTATTCATATATATATATATATATATATATAATATCAGTTCGTAAAATAAAAATAATAAAGTTGCAATTTTGATCAAGTGAAGAATCACCTTCAGTTGCATAGTGCAACCATTTCATCCATTTTTGTAAATGAACAGTACTTACCATGGTGGGTAAAACATTGTATTTGCTTTATACAGGATTTTGTATATATATATATATGTATACACTGTTCAAATATACTCTTCTTCCCTCACTTCCTCATTTCAACAACCTATTTAAAATAAAATTGAAATCCAGCCACTCAGCTAGCCTTCTTCTCTCTCAAAATATCAATCAACCCAGTTTAGAATTTGATGTCTTCCCAAATAGATTTTGATTGAAATTCCGCCATCTAGCTAGCATTCTTCTCTCCCAAAATATCAATTAACCCAATCATCAATATTCAAAATTAGATGTTTGGATTAAATTGACATAATCGTTATACATTATATTAAATATCACTCTTCTGTAATAAAATATTTGTGTGGGTTAACTATTAAGACAAAAGGGAGCTCAATAAAATACAATTTCATTCATGACATTAACACAACGTTATACTAAACCTCATAGTGACCATGACAGGAGTGCGGTGATAAGGGGACAACGTGAGACGTGTCAATGTGACAATATATATGCATACATATATATACATAAATTGAATATTTTTGTCTTTATAAATTTGAAATATTATGTTTATTCAATATACTAAACATATAGTAAACTGCAATTTATGTTTTAGTAATATTTGGTAATGTTTGTTACTATTTGAATATTCTGTGTGTTTTAAAAAAGAGACACGGTTTTGTTTAGCAATAAAATTGTAGCCATGAACAATTGCAATATTTTTTCACCAAACATGATCTTATTTTTCTTCGCAACAAAAACATAAATGGAAACGATTTTCAAACACCCTTAAACATACCCAAGTTTATACAAGTAGTATTTAATTTTTTTTTTTTTTTTTTTAATTTACCAAGACACTAACCGATTGGAATATCAACACATATGTAAATGATATCTAAATTAGGTATTAATTTTTTATTTTTTATTTTTAATGAAACCTTAATATGCTAATATTTTTAGACTGAAAATATTAAATGTTCAATAAAATTTTCCTTTCTGTTACAGGATGTAGGCCAAGGTCTACATATATTCCCGTGGAAGTGGACCCATTGGAACCATGCCATAACAATAGTTTAAGTATAAAAATATTGTAGTTTAATAGTTCAAAAGCAACCTAATAATCTGCTTTTGTTGTAAGTTTTATTCTTTACTTAAAAATGCGCAACAAACGCCCAATTATTTAGTATTGACATATAAATTCTTATAATTTAAAATTTTATATCAAATTGTCCTTTGATTATCAATTTTCTTTTATATAAATTTCAAAAAACCTCTAATAAAATTTTGTATATAAGTAATTTTTTTTATAAAATATTTATGATGTAACAGAATCAGACAAAATCAATATAAATTAATTAATACGTGTGAATCGCACATTAATCGATACATCGGCTTATCAAACCATAGGACGAACTATAAATTCAACCTCTAGTCATATAGCAATTGGCAAATAAACCACCATTGGGACTCCATTTGTGTCCCACGCAAATTATACTACAAATATGAAACCAATTCTAAAATAATTGTCACATCATGCTAAAAGTTGAAGTTCACGTCTCTGTCAGAGATTTTTCAATCTCATACTGGTACCACAAAGAAGTAATTTAAGATAAGGAGATAAAAAGTCCACAACTTTGGGAGAGAAGACAATTTTATTATATTTATTTTTAAATTTTAACACTTTAAATAATAAATTTTATCCGAGCAGTGAAATTCATCGCTTAATTTCAAAATAATTACATTAGTGATATAATGCCACAGCCGCTCAGACTCATTTTTTTTTATCTCTTAATGCATATCGTAATGTCATTAATTATATATTTTTTTCATATTATATTGATGAATAACTAGAGAAGTTGAATACTAATTCTATCCATACTAAATATATATACTTACTCTGGGTGTGTGTTTCCTTAAACCGTCTATTTGCATTTTATTTTTTACTTTTTCTTGATAATTGAGAATTTAATCACTTACTCGATTGAAGACCATGAAACCGAGGTCTAAATCAACACCATCAACAGTAACAGTTCTGGCATGGCCGCCCAAGTAATCGTCCTTCTCGTATAGCACCACCTCCACGCCGCCGGCTTTGGCCAGAAAGTAAGCCGAAACCAGTCCGCTGATACCCGCGCCGATAACAGCTACCCTCATCTTCTGTAGCCACAATGCATGGAGTACAGTTTCCCAATTAATTCACAAAAAAAAACACACACACACACACACACACACACATATATAGCACAAAAAAGGTGTGAGATAATTGAGGTCAAAGTGCATTTGAAGCAAAAAGCAAAGAAAACTAATGAGAGGAAGAGATAAAACCATGCATAGATAAAATGCATCAACAACTGAAAATTAAATGAAAATATATATCAAATATGTTTCATTTTTATAGCATGCCTCTTTAGAGAAAAATAAGGGGAAAATAACTGTACAAATAATTTAATTCAAAATGCATTTAGTTCAAAGAAATTATGGAGAGAGAGTTTGTTCAAATATTTTTTTAAAAAAAACTGTACAAATAATTTAATTCAAAATGCATTTAGTTCAAAGAAATTATGGAGAGAGAGTTTGTTCAAAAAAAAAAAAATTGTTGCATGAAAAACTTTATGGAAATGTTGATTTCCATTTTTGCAATTTTCATCTAATTAATTAAGCAAAAAAACAATCAACTTTTCAGCTATGCTTCTCACAAGTACAAATTTAGAAATATTCTATAATGTTTGCAACACTTAGAAAACTTAGATTCATTTTACTAGTAATAGAATTATATATATTTTCATACATATATATACACACACACACACACAGTTTTTAAGTTACCTATCAAAGCTAGGCAAACACCTTTCAAGTTGTGGCAGATCCAAAGCTCAAGCTATTAGCATTCCCTGAATACTTCACTCATAATTCCACCAATTACTAGCTACTTTCTCTCTCTAGCTACTTTCTCTCTCTAGAGAATGGAGAGGGCAGAAAAATAATGCAGATTTGTCAAACACCCACCAAGAGACAAAAACTTGCAGACGTATTGTCCTCCAAAGCAGATGAGAGGAAACAAAGAGGCCACGACAATGCTGATGCTCTCTGATTTCGAAGCAAAAAATTACATACTCCGTATATCATATTCAATTATTCAATATCTATATATATATATCATATATCTCTTCGTGGTTGGTGTACAGAATGTAACGCATATCACATCTATACATCTTCTCATCCGTAGGACCCGGATTGTAGAGACCGTTAAATATATTTATCTTATCTAACGTTTAAAAATAAAAAAAGAAAATTTGAAATGAAAAAAAAAAAAATCCAATTTCTATAAATCTTATCCACTTCTAACCATGTTACAGTTAAAAAAATACCAGCTTTATTCAAAATCCTACTTTATTAATTTTTATATATACTTTATCAAGAATATGCAAGTATGTAATTACATCTTTTTTAAGAAATGAGAAATTATACCAACTGAGTTACTGGTTCGGAGATGTAATTGTGACATACTTGCTACATTTATTCACAATTAATTATGGAATCATCCAAAAATGTGATATACTACGTGATTATTGATTTGATTAGTATACCATGTTTACAATCAAATCTTAAATATAAACTTGATGATATGAACCAAAGAATACATTTTTATACATGGTGTAATTTTTTAATTCAGTTGTTTTCTTAAAAGAGATTAACAATTTGTCTATTTATATATTAGAGAATATTGCAAATCTCTGTATATCTATATTTATTAATACTAGCTAGTTATAAATAGCTAGTTATAAAGTTTTTTATACTTTATATATATATTATTCTCTCATATTTTTTTATTAATTACATTTTTTATTTTCTATTTATTAGTGTGTAAATGAGTCAATAAATATGCTACTATTTATTTAACATATGAACTTGGCTCTGAACTACTAAATATATAACGGTTTTGAAGAGGACACGTTTCGAAGACCATTGTGTTCTTATTTATTTATTTATAGATATAGAAAAATGGTAGCGTTTCATGTTCCAAAAGATGCTCTGTGACTCGCGAACCCATCGCGTCAAAGTACTAATTTTCCCGCATTCAACGATCACGGCTGGCCCGAGTGTCTGATGATACAAACATGACATGAGATGAATACATTTGAGTTTGGCTTGTCGATCATAATTGACATGATAATTAATGTGTCGTGTCCCTATTTTGCTTAACAATTCATTTATACCCTATTAGTCTGTTTAATTAAATGTGTTCCTCGTATTCATATTAAAAATAATTTATTTAATTACAGGTGCTGAATAAACGCATCGTACTTGTTAGTTAAATGTGTCTTATCGTATCGTGTCAAATCTGAACCCATTTATTAAAAAAGTTATGCACATCGTGTTGTGTTCGTGTCAAATTCTTTTTGACAAACTTTGACACGAATAATAATCGTGCCGTATTTGTGTCGACCCATAACAGAATATTGACACGACCCGCCAACACATGAATTACTCCCCTTTAGTAGCTCGGATGTTGAAATTATAGTATTAAAAGTGATCATGTGCAATGTGACATGTGTTAATTATTTTTAATAAAATATTTTTATGCATGTCCATTTTACCCTTTACGATTGATTTTACAGATAAAAAGTTAAAAATGTTTGTTATATGTATAAAGGTATTTTTATGTGCAATGTGACACATAAGTTGATTGTATTAGGTGTGACACGTGATTGATTAATTGTTATTGACAGATATATTTTGACACAAAAAGTATAAAATAATAATATTTGAGAGTACTCCTAAAAACAGATGCAACAGAGATAGGTAGAACCTATACTCCAAAAAAAATTAGAGCGCGTGACTATAAACCAAGGTGTGAGGGTTGAATCCCTCCTCGTTCACAAGCGGACCAGACATCTACTGAATTAGACAGAGAACCGGACATGTACAGGATGTTGTTAAGCATATAACAAAATGATTCCTGACCTTGTTGTGTTATAAGAACCACATATTTTGATTTTTGTAGGTGGAACAACTTTTACGACCACGTGGTTTAATTAGAGACCCACAAATTTGGGAAAAAGGTATTATGACTTTTGTGATTATGCATGGATTTCTTGGATTCTGAAGTTTGAATTTGGAGCAGAGGATTTCTACATTCAAATTAAAGTGAGAAACAAAAATATGAGTTAATTATTAATTATATGTTTACCAGATAAAATAAAAAAAATAAAACACCTTTCCGACATGTTTAATACCATATTATGATAATTCCGACATGCATATAATTTGTAAATTTAGAACTTGCAAACATGCATATGATTTCTCAATTTTAAAATGCATTTTATATAATTTTTCAAAATTTCTTTTATCGAAAAAAATTAAGGACACTACTTACATTTTACTTGTTAGTAGAGATTTCCTTCTCCAATTGAGGTGACTCAATAAAAAAAAAAAACACAGTTTTGTTTTGTTTTGTTTTGTTTTATCAAGCTAAAACAGTCCTATTCTAGCTATTTATTATTAAAGTAATATATCTCTTTCTTTTCCTATCTCAACTAGAGAAGCAATGAATTCTCAGAAAGCCACTAATAAGATTGAGAACACACAATACAAGCTTACGTACTTGAGAGTTGAGAGAAAAGCTATACACTATCTAACCTATTTTCGCTTTTCCAAAGTCCGACTCTGATTTGAGTTCGATTCAATAATTTAAATATAGATTGAAATATTTAATTGTGATAATTTATTAACTTAATAAATTAACTATGAATTAAAGTTATTCCAGTTCCATCCAAATTTTTCCTCTCTTTTGTTTATATTTTATTTCTTTCTTCGTTTTTTTTTTTTTTCCTGTTTTTTTATAATAACTGTTTAGCAATGTAATTCAACAATAAATATGAGAAGAATTAGCCTTAAGTCATTTAAGAATATACTATCTATAAAGATACATTTTATTTTCTTTATGTTGCAATTAAAAGTACTAAATTGACACCTTAGAATTGAAATTGAAAGAAATTTACCTAACCAAAAAAAAAAAACAAAAAACAATTGTATGCCAAACTATTGTCTTTGCAAAAGGTTGTATACAATACAAATTAATAGTATACCAAACTATTGTCTGGTTATCATTTTGAAACATCACAATGCAAATCAAGTACTCTTGTAAACAAATAGATAATGAGAAATACACGAATGAAAGAGTGACAAGTCACCTTTCCTTATTGGTAAAGCAATCCGTAAATTGAAGGAGACAGCCAAAATAAAAGGTTCTTCAAACACAATCTTTCTAGGGGTCACATGATCAATAAGCAGAAGGTCGATCCTCATCATCCTCATATGCATCAGCAAAAGTAGCGACGTTGCCGGGACGTGAAAATACAATCTACATTGCAGAGAAATAAAACACCTTTTTGAGTTCCAGTACAAAAATTTTCGAACTAGTGAATTATGAAAATACAGAATCATGCGATTCATCAGATCAAACAAGTGGCTTACTAGATGTTGTCATGTCAAATACCATAGCGATAATTTCACAATTTCGTTTAACACGACTAACTGTGGATTCATGTCCTACTGAACTAAATGGCACAGTTGCATTCACATTTGGACATCCTAACCATCACCTGATTTGTTAAAGAGCTGTTCATTTTTGTTGACTCCTTAAAGAAGGATAGAACATAATCAAAGAAATGTGCAACACACGGTGGAGAGATACCTGATAATCCCCAAGCGTACGAGTCTTGAAACCAGCTGCACAGTAATCAAAATAGTATTCCCATGTCCGGATGAACTTTTCATCGAATCCCAATGCAAGAATTTTGCTAAGAACAAGAGTAGAGAATATTTTTAAATTTATGTACTTTTTAATAATATAACAGGCAGAAGATATGTTTATAATGGCAAATACTGCAAAGGATATGCACCTCTGCTGTTAGAACTAATTACAACAATTTTATGCCCTTTTCATCGTAGCTAGGCTTTTCATGTAAATATCTAAGCCTGCACATTGTGTAGTCTTGAACTAGGAAATATGTGGTGTCTAGCACAAACAACTAGTCGACCAATGCTCAGCAATTTTTTGAAAATTGTAGATATAATAGTTTACCAACCTCATGTGCTCGTATACCAAGAAAATGTATTAACATAGCTTGTCTGCCTGGATGGGAAAGAAAGCTGAGGGAGCATGGAAGAATAGGTTAATCGCTGTTGGCTCACCCTTGTATCAGACCTTGGTACAGCTTATATACGATTGGGCATACATTCTTGCTTGTATAAGTGTTATTACATGAGACTTCCCAAGTTATTTGAGTGTCTCGACATGCTGAATGTGTAGTGTGCGTATCATTTACTTGGTAAAATCACAAATTCAAATGGTATAATATGTAGTACTATATTTTGTGTCCAATTAATTGTTGATGACACGAGACTAATTTATTTTACCTCTGGTTCTTCATCAAGTTTTTCCTCCAGCATCTGAGTGTCTGGTAATAATGAATGCCAATGTTTTCTAGGTGCTCAATGCTGCATTTATAGTACTTAGGTAAATTTTCAGAAAACAGAAGTTGAAGAGAAACAATACCCAAATATATATTTACAAAAATAATATGCCTTTACCAGAGTCTGGATGAAGCAGCCATGGCTGATGTTATTCTACTTAATGAAGGCAGGCATCCACCAGGGAAGATATATTCTTTTATGAAATCTGAGCTTCGTCTGTACTCATCATACCTTTCATCTGGTATTGATATGAACTAAGGAAAAATCAACACCACTAAGCTGTTAGAAATCACTGGAAGTTGAATTCGCATTGTTAATTATAAGACATGAAAATTCAATTCTAGATATTAAGAAGATTAGAAGTTACATTAGTCAGCAAGCTTTACAAATCAGTTTGGCTTTGCATCATGTTTGGAAGACAAAAAAAATAAGGGTTGACAGTCTAATAGTGAGGCATGGCTATAATCATGATTTTTAGAATCAAGGCAAGATATGCTAAATGGAGGAGTGCATCTAGTATATTGTGTGATCAGCAGATCCATTTAAGATTGAAAGGGAATTTGTATAGGACAGCTATTAGACCAACGTGCTTCATGTGATGGAATGTTGGGCATCTAGGAAACAACATGTGCATAAAGTGAGTAGCGGAATTGCGAATATTGAGATGGATGTGCGGTAAGACTAGAAAGGGATAGAGTAAGAAATGATCACATTCGTGAAATGGTTGGAGCAGCAATTGGAGATAAAATGAGAGGAAATCGGTTAAGATGGTTTGGACATGTGCAAAGAAGACCTTTTAGCGCACCAGTTAGGAAGAGTGACATAATCTACATTGAAGGCAATACTAGGGGAAGAGGAAGGCCAAAGTTAACATGGGTATAGTTAGTAGGGAATGATATGGTAACATGTGGTTTAACTGAGGCCATGGCCTTATATAGAGCGGAATGCAAACATTTGATTCATGTAACCGACCCGAAATAGTTGGGAAAAGGCTTTGGTTCTTGTTGACTATAGTCATGATTTACATCAAAATGAGGTCATTTATTGAGATCACGAGGTGTAAGTGTCATGAAAAACAAATCATTTAAATGCTATCAAAATCTAGCAAAGTGGACATCATTTAAATCATTTGTGAAATCAAACTGCTCTGATCTACATCCTCTGTCTCAAATATCCCGTTAGAATGTGACACTGTTTTATAACTCCTTTTGCCATTTCAAGCTTCAGAAATTTATCCAATATATTCCTTTCAAATCAAATAATTAACTAACTTGTACTACATATATACTAGCAAGTAATCCATTAGAAAAAATACAAAATTGGGTCACTGATATGAATTTTATTGGCCATTGCTAAAACAAATAGGAATTCAAGCCTTAATTTCTTCCATTACAACCAAGAGATAAGAAATTGTCTAAATAGAAGAACTATGTGAACAAAGAAGTACAATGGTACAACACAAACTTTGCAGAATGTGGTTCTCTTTTTATTTTTACTTTTATTTGTATTATCCTTACCTGTAGGACAAGAAGCCCATCTTTGGCCAATACTGATTCACAACACCTAAAGAACTCCTCAAAGTATTCATGGCCAACATGTTCTATCATCTCGCTGTAAATAATCATCAACTAGATAAGCGTGCATATTAGGCTAGTTACTATCTGATGTAAATTGACGATGAACTCTTTTTTTCCGGTAGATAATTTGGAGATGAACTCACCAAGAGATAATCCTGTCGTATTTGTAGGTATCAGGTAATTGGCGATAGTCACAGAGAAGAAATCTTATGCGGTCCTGAGAGTGAAGTCCATTTAAAATGGTAAGAGAAGTAACAGAAACAATCTTCTCAAGGAAACGAGAAACAAATTTAGATACTCTAATTACAGTTTGAGATATTTTGAACCCAATTTTTGGCCAAAAGTTGTCAACAGGTTGGTCTTTGGGTCTCCTGGGAGGGTAGTAGTGTACTAACGAGATATTATTGGATACCAAGGGTACCATTTCATCATGCTACTGTGGTATCCCTAACCTATCAAATAATGTCATTTGAATAAATTGTCAGTCACACTTTGATAGTGAAAAATATAAAGTGCTTTGCTGACATGGGAATGGATGGTAGTTATCAAAATGGTGCTATGATAGGACAAGGATACCATGTCAGCATGGCATATGTTGGTATTCCTGGGCTAACCAATATTTTTTTAATTAGTTTGGAACCTATTAGTCACAACTGTTCAAGATAACAAAGGGTATCCCCACCCACTTCGGGAGTGGACTACTTCCTTCAGATACCCGCAATTACCTCCAAACCGAAACCTAAGCCACGGCGGAGGCTTGAAGCTCAATGAATTTGAACACAAGACCTTGGGGACATGTCTAGAGACCTTATGCCAACTCAATTACCCTGTGAGGGTTACTCAATCAGTCTCTTTTTCTGATCATCAATATATTCCTTTCCCATGAATGATAAATATCTGATGTTAAGGAGCCAGAGGCAAAAAGATATATATATATATATATATATATATATATATATATATATATATAAAATTATCTCATTGTCTTAGATGAAACTTACTTGTATTTTACTTTCATACTCAAATGTAGTTAGTAAAAGCAAATCACCTGAAGGCCAGCTTCCTCCACTCTCATTTCTGCAAATCTCAGTTGCTCTTCAGATAAGGTGATGCCAGTATATTTGCATCCAGTTCGTTTGACAACTTCAATAGCTAAAGTTCCCCAACCACAACCAATATCAAGAACGTCATGTTTCTCATCAATTCTAGCCTAGATTGGAACAAAAAAAAAATAGTACAAATAAATAATTTTACTGAGAAATTCTCATGGAAAATGAAGTAAATGTTATTGATAATCTCACTTTTTCAATCAGGATTGAGATTTTTCTCAGCTGTGCAACTTTCAAGTCTTCACTTTCAGTCTATCAGATGTTCAACACGGAAATGAGTATTACAAAGTTTTTTAAAAAAAAAACATGGGGAAGATAAATTTTTTGGTTGAAGATAAAATAATCAAAAGATTGAAAATCACGAACCTTAAATATTGCAGAGGAGTATGACATTGTTTCATCCAAGTACAGAGAAAAAAGTTCGTTACTCTGGGAAACAAGAAACCAAAACAAGTTGTCAGCTTTTGTGTAGCCTAATTGTTTGCAATAGCATCATTTCAAACAAGTCTAAAATCATTTTAAACAAAAGTAAAGAAAAGTTGGTGTATGTAAATTCATACAGATCAGCATGATGCAACCACGAAAACAATAAGGGTTACAGGTCACTCTGATGGAAATTGAAGAGATTACACTTGGTTGAAGCTATTTTAAAAAGTGTCTTATTTACTACAACATATGTTGATCAACATAAGAAATTTCTAAACCATATGTAGAAAGTCTATGATTAACCAGAATCCCACTTGATGAGGACAAGTTATGTTAGATGGACTCGATTATGTTTATGGGGTGCAGGTATATGCCTAAGCAGCGGATTTATTAAAGCCAAATCTAACTACATGGGGAGGTGGCTAAATACTCAAATTGTTTAATATATGCTTCTGTTTTCTGCAATAAAATATTCTATACTCCTTTTGAAATAATTATTTAAGAAAAGAAAGATAATACTTGAGTTTTAAATACACTATATAATAAACTTGAATTATTTAATATACTTGTTAGGTGCATGACCAACAGCACATATTCGATACTCACATCTGAGTGTTGTGTGTTTCACACATTTTTTAAGAGTCCATGTGATATACAGGACAAGTCTTCCCTGATCTTGGCCTAAAACTCACTTCTTCGTTTACTAAGTACTTCCCTGATCCTACCCTGAAACCCACTTCTGAATTTTCCCTCCTTTTGAGCAACTAAGACATACCATTTAAAAAGTTTTGGTGAGTACTTTCAAATGTTGCAATTTTGAGAGCATATATATGCTGTTTCAATTTCAAACTGCTGTATATGATATTGAAATACTTATATTTATTTTGCTTTATTTTATATTTTTATTTGCTACTGTTACAATGTCCAATATTAGTTTATCTTTACAACAAGTCTTCATCCAACTTTCATAGAAATACTCACTATCTCGATGAAAAAAAAAAAAAAAGAGAGGTTCATTTCTAAACTAAAGCTGAAACAAGTCTTATTTTTGGACAGAAACCATCGTTCAAATAAAATTTTAACTATGATTTCATGTTATACTTCTGTTCAAAACTATACGACTATAGAAAACATCATGCAAATAGAAAATTATGAACCTCCACCAAGTACTTTCTGAACTTGTTGAGAGAGAGATTGAAAAGACATTTATCAATGGATTGATATCTCATACCAAGTCATAATGACGAGAGATGTTCCTGCGAGCTTGGGTAAGAGTATTCTGATTCAAAACATGCTTGAGAAAATACTTTGTGGATGCGATTCCAGCTGTGGAAAGCAATGGTGTCCACCAGCCCCTAACACCAACATAGAATCGATGGAAACTCAAGTAGAGATAATTAGGAGATGACCAAAATTCGTGCACTCGTATCACAGTACAGCTGGTTCAAATCAATATTTACCTTTTGTTATTAGACCTTGAGACAGAAGTTTTTAAATCTCTGTTGGCAATAAAAATCTGCAGAAAAGAACTTTGGAAGGTAAATATATACGGACAACTTGAAACTAGGCACAGATCTGTAGTATTACCAGGAAAAGATTCAGAAGACCTTCACTTTTATCAACAAAAGAAAAATCGCCATTAATGTATGCATCCGCAAGGCCTAAATCAGCTTGCGAAGCAACCTGTCAAAAGAATTCCAAGTAAGAAACTTATGTATCACAGAATTCTAACTTAATTTTAATAAACAATTATATATGTGGCTGGTTCTTAATATTTTAAAATTCTAACACAGTTCTTTAGAAACATATGACATCCCCCTATTGAAAGAAATGTCAAACACAATGAAAAGGTACATACCTTCCAGTAAAACTGGGGATTGTGAATTTTCAGATAAGTTTTAAGAAGACTTTTCCTTCTTGGTCCCTCAAAGGATAAAATAGTACCTCCTTCTTCCAATAAGCTACAGTTACACAAAGGACATGATATAAATACAGCACCTTTAATTTTTAATTAGCTTTTGTGCTTGCATTCATAGAGAACAGTTCAATCTCAAGATCAGTGGTTAACTAAATTGGATCACAAAAAAAAAATATTATGGAACAACTATTGAAAATAAAATAAAAAAGAAGAAAGAAATAAAAGAGTAGAGTAAGACAGTGTGGCCATGAAAAGCAAAAATAATCACATTGAAATTACTAAAATGGGAATTACCCATTTATGGTAAGAAGATGTTAAGGGATCTGGATGACACTTTAACGAAAGCTAAATTTGAGTATCATGCTTCAGACTTGTAGCAGCAAGAGGGGAAAAAAAAAGTGCAGATTAAATCAAACAGAAGACAGAGTTCAGTGAATTACAATTCAAAATTTACAGCAAAAGTACTACTCACGATGCATAAATAATGCAACTAGCAACTTAAAAAACCACAATTTTGTAAACATTGGATTATCCAATGAATCCTAGCCTTCAATAAAATAAAAAAATAAAAAAAAAAACTATATATATATTTAATATAAAGTAAGGTAATTTCAAGCTTAAAACAGTGAATTGTTATTGTCATTCTGAGCAAAATCACGCCAAACAGTGACCCTGTCCTGTCCTTCCATCTACCATGAGAATACAGCCATCAAACCATAAAACCCTATTTTAAAGCTATATAAGTACAGTTGAAAATCATGTTCTTTTAGCAACTTTCCTGTCCAAGTAGCTACTTTAGCTTGAACCAAACCAATCCTTCCTGGTGCATTTTATGGTCCTCTTGTTGCGCAAGCCCTATATCATCTCAATTTTTCTGGTTTGATCTCCTAAGAAATGGAAACACGACACACTTCCCAACTAAAGCATTGAAAAATAGCATGATGCCTTCTTCAGAGAAACAAACATGACTAACTAAACACCCATAGGCGATTGATTGTTTTGGCTCAAATATATGTTTATATCATTTCAAGAAGTAAATGTATGAAAATGAATATAGATGAAAAGAATATAAATCTATCAACTCACATTAGGGAGCCAGTGGAGATATAAAATTGAAGAAACTTAGTAACAAAAATGCGCGCCCATGTTTCGACCAAAGAAGGTACCATACACTTTGGGTTGTTCACAACAAGAAAACTCTTTTTAAGAATACCATGGGCAGCAGCCATGCCAGCCTGCAAGAATTATAAATCAGTTGTTAGCCTCATAATACCAACTGCATGAGTTTCGAGTTCATCTTTGGACAATGCTTTTCTCCTCACTAGTGAGGAGGAACCTTCTCCTTACCACCAATGTGGCACAATGATAGAATGATGAGTCCATTTTGAATTTAAAATAAAATAGGGGGAAATTTAAGGGGTTTTTTTTTTTTTTTTTTTTTTTCACATTTTAAATTCAATATGGACTCATGCCATTCTAACATTGTGCCACATCAGTAGTAAGGAGGAGGTTCCCTCACCGGTGACGAGGCAAGTATTATTCATCTTTTTATATGTAAAATCTATCAAGCAAACAATTAAGAGGCTAAAAATCAACAAAGGCTATAGCTATTGGCTTTTATTAACAATATGAAGTTGGCAAGCACACTTTTCAATTGCCTTCAAAAACTGTTGTTATACGTTTTAAAGGAACAATTACTTGTGTTAGTACAAAAATGTAGGATACCTTTAGCTTATCCTCATGGAATCCATATCCTGAAAGTGAAAGAAATGCAATACGTAAAGCATGTGAGTCAGTAAATTCTAAGTTATTTAAAATGTCATGACAGCTTAAAGAATTAAAGCACTATACTTCTTGCATGAAACTTCAAAAGTATAATTCAAGTCATATAATAGACACTATCCTGACATTAACAAATTAACCAGTCATGTTGATTAATTTAAAACACGAATACTTCCTATGACATAATTTTTTATTTATTTATATGAGCTACAAAATGGACATGTAAACATAGGACTTGCTTGGTTCAGTTTCCAGAGAATATAAAATTGTTACTGAGTCAAGAGAGAACAATCTTTTCTAATTCTTTAAAAAATGTTTTTTTGGATTCAGGGTTCTTTAAAACTATTTTAGAGAACTCAACCAAACAGAATCATAATTAAGGAAAGAGTTCTTATGTGAATCTGCTCTACGCTTCAAGAAGAAAAGGAGCTGAACTGATGCAATGAAATGTGATTTACAAAGAGTGTACATTTGTATTTTTCGTTACAAGGAAGAAAGCTCACCATGGTAAGCTCCAGAGAACCATATTCCCCTCTTCCCTTGAATTCGATCAAGCTCAAATGAAGCTTTTGATGCAGCAACTGTAGGGAGTGGATGGGCAATTGACCACTTCAGCAATGTATGCTCAGGTGTATGAAATGGATTAAGAGTTACCAGATATGGTAAGTTTGTTTCATCAATGTTCTGCATGTTCAGAGAGGTTATGGAATAATCCAGCATTTTAATTGCAGAAAAGAGCTCACTTTCTGAGAGATGGTAAATTATATGGAAATCTCATAGAATGTTTGACCATGTGAGAATTCAAGCTTTGACATTTTATTGATTATCCACTTATATGCATTTTTTGGGTTGAATTTTGAAGCTTCCATACAAGTCCAGATCAATTTTTAGTAGTTAGACCTTGTTTCCAGTTCAGAGTCAGATTCACAATAGAGTAGACATCTTTTGACTAAGTGTAGCTTTTGAAGAAAATGGAATTCCATGTGGCTCTTTAATATATTGTTATTTGGGGAAGAGAATTCCTGTGTCTCTCCAATGTTGTCTTCATTAGCTTATACTCATAGGTCTGACTAAACTTGCCTCTTCATATGGGATTTGGGTATGACTGAGATGACAAATGACCCTATAATACATCTTAAGTTGGATCAGGATATCTGAGAAAAATAACAAAACAAGGTCTGGAAGTCTCAGCACATCCTTAATTAATGGTAATTACTAATGCAGCACATACACAACACAACTCTAATTCACACGAGGAGAGAGGGTTACAAACCTGGAGCACATTGAGCCAATATGTTACACGTACTTTGTTATCCGTAGTACCAAGAAAATTCCATGCACTCCATGCTGCTGGGTTTTTGGGCATTAAACTTTTGTCACGGTGAAGGAAAATATCACTGCCATAAGGAGTTAAAGAATGATTGTCCATTTTTGAGAATTAAACTAAAGGAAAACATCAGTTGCAACCACCATCTTTTCAAGTACCAAAAATAAAATGATTAAATATATACCAAGTCAGAACACCTTAGAAGAATTATTAGTAGTAGTTCCAAACTTTTGAAATTGACATTTTACAGTTTTTTAACTTTTTTATGTACCCCAGTTAATATGATCACTACAGAGATCCTAATTCTGAAAGGTAGGGATCACAAACTTCTTGTAAATCAAGTCAAGAAAATTAGATATATTTTTTAAAAATTTGACGGAGACCACTTCAAATTAAATATGCAATTTGATCTAAATTTATAAAAGTAAAAATTTTCTACAAGAAGTTGTTTAAATTCGTATTAACTAGAAATATATGAGATGATAAAAAGCATCAGCAGCACATGTAGAAGACGAGGCCTGCAAAACTCAAAATGAATCATAGCTTTTTGACTCAATAATAATAAAAAAAATTAAGAAAAAATAACAATAAAACAAGTCCTTTCCTACCTTAGACAATCCTGAATTTAGCCTGGTTTTCATAAGCTTTAGCTATAATTTTCATAAATGGGTATTGATATTATAAAAATGTACTACAAAACTGTCAAATATATAGGAAAGTTATACTGTGTCAGTACCTATAGACATATTGGAAAGCACCAAGTGCTCTAGTTTCATCATATGTGGCTTTTTCCCCCAACATTTCTAAAGCATCTGGAGCATGGATGGCCATTATGCAACCATTGTACATTTCTTGTGAACCATCTTCACATATTATGAAACAACCTGTTCAACCTCATTTCAAATTTACAATTGGAATCATGTAATAATTCTGATAAATATAATGCCCAAATTTGATTCAAACTGCCAAGCCTTTGACATTGCGCGCGCGCACACACACACACACACACATATATATTACAGCTACACAACAATAACAATTGATTATAGTTATCACAAACTATAGGTTCATTAATATTAGAAGCCATGTTGCACCAATCAGTGAATTTATTGTCACTAACCAGTGTTGGTCCCACTTAAATAAGTGATGAACACTGGAAAAGATCTAACTTTTGGCATTATTTTGCTTAAAGTGGCCTCTCCCAGAGTTGAAACGGCATCCTCTCACTAATTAACTTTCAAATATTATAATATATTTAAAAAATGTTTGTCTTTTTAAGGGAGTTTCCATGATTCAACATCTTCACTGTTGTAGACCAAATTGATAGTTCAAAAAAGAAACATATTTTTTAATTGACCTAACCAGAATTGAAGCCAACTAAAAACACAAATGATCTATATATCATTATCCAAAATTTGTCTTCGCTTTGAAGCAATACGCAACCACAGAGGAATTCTAAAATAAGAATCAGAAAATCAATTAATAGCCCTAATTTCTAGGACAGACAATCCTAATACTATGGCCAAATATAGACCTAGTTCTTGTTGCAACAGTGTGCAAGCATATAACAAGCTGCTTCCTACTGCACCACAGGAAGTTATGCCAAAACTAGTTCCTATCAGTCTGCTTCCTACAGCACTACAATAAGTTAATCTTATAGAGCTTGAATTTGGTCTTGGATGTTCTGAAAATACTAAATTTTCCTATTAACTGGATGCAATGGATAAAGGCACACATTATGACTTCTCAATTCTCAATCGTCCTCGATGAAGGGTATTTTGCTGGGGCCAAGGAATTGAGACATGGTGAACCCATTTCTCCATTTTTGTTCCTTCTGGTTGTGGAAGTCTTGCCCAACCTTGTAACAATCTACAGTATTTATCACCCTAAATGTGAAGCATAGACACCACCCACACTGCTTGTTGATGATCTGTTTCGCCTAAGCTCAGTAGACTTGGAGTCTATTAGAACCTTAAAGAGAGGAGCTCTTAATGAATTCTCCAAACTGGCCTGGTCTGAAACCTATACTCTACGGGTGGAGGGAGGGGAAACAATGGCAACAGTCTTGTCAAGGTGCGGGCCAAGCCAACTCTCCAGGAGTTGTGTCTTCATTTCTTGTTTGAATGAGCAAATGTTAAAGGAATGATGCTGGGGAGTTGCCAAATAAATAGTTATGGTAACCCAAGGCTGAGGATTGTACAGATCTGGTGCAGAAATTTACCAACAAAATTCAAAGTAGGGCAGATGTAGCTTATTTGAGCAATCTTGTTTGGTATTCAAATTTACTAAGCAGTATGTTTAGAACCTTCTTATGGGACGGAACAAATATAAAAAAGATCTACGGGTAGAGCTAGCTGCGAACTGGGCAGTTAAGGAATGAGGATTGCGGAATGGTATCAATGATTAGGCATATATGAAACTTGTTGACCAACAAGATATCTTTGTGTACTAAGTGGGTTCATAAATTTCTGGTGGGGACAGATGATTTTGGGAACCGAATATACGCCTTGACGGCTCTTGGGCTTGGGAAAAGGTTTTCAGGCTGGGAATGACAATCAAGAATTGTATGAAGTGTGCTATGGTGAAGGGAAATTCTTACGGCATGATAACTAGCATCTAAGATACTTACTGATGGAAACCTAAGGAGAGAGGGTTGACTTTGACGCAACCAGTCCTAGAAATGCCAAGGTAACAGATATAATTTGAAATGGCCAAAGGAAGTGACCATTCAAGGGTCCTGCTAATGGCAAAGAAAATCATTAGCTCAATTCATAGTGAAGAGAAGGCCATATGTGCTTCTACAACAAATTTAGACTTACACTGCTATATCAGCAGTAGCACAGGAAGAAATCAAGGGTCAGATTTCTACAGTTGGTAGCAAAGTGGTTCTCAGCAGCAATTCATAGACATTTTCATTCAGTGGCTTGCTATAAGAGGTTCATTGACTACTCTGGATAAAGTAAGCCATTGGGGGCTTCAAAATGCTACTTCTACAATGACATAAAGGAGTCACTTATCCCCTTTGCGGATAGGGCATGCAACTTCTTGCAGAAAAATGTGGTACAAGTAGATTGTCCTGTAATGAAGAGGTCCTGTGGATTGCTACTCATGCTAAATAAATGTGGTTTCCTATGCATCATCAGAACATTAAACATTTGCAATGGTACACCATTTGTGGAGAAAAATAAATCAGAGAAAATTTTGAAGGAAAGCGAGCAGGCCTTCAACAGAATAGATGAAAGAGATATTCTTTGATGTCAGAGCAAGTTAAAAGGAAGATCCCAGATAGAACCTGAATAGAAATCTACGTAGTAAATAGAACATCTAGTTAAGGGAGGACAGAATTTGATTTTTCTTTGTGTTTTTCATTTTGGTATATACTATATATACACTCTTCCTTTTTTTTTTTTTTTTGGTTGGTGTCTTGGATGTGTTGATCTTATTTGGAGGTGTCTCTACATAAAGGTGTTATGCGCCTCTATGTTTTTAAAACAGCTCATATTTTGGCATAAAATAACTTTACCCAAGAGAGAGAGAGTACTGACCCTCGTCAACTGTGGAAACAGAATGCACCTCACAGCCAGTTCTTATTTGACAACCTCTGCTCTCCAACTCTTGTCTAACCTGTTTGTTAGTCCCATACAATAAGTTATACAAGAAACATATGGCATGAATATATCACTAGTTGCAAGTAGAGAATTTTGAGGCACACAAAACACTAAAATCACCTTATTTACATAATTATTTGAACTCCATTTGACAGTAAGCAACTGAGAGCGGCCAAAGAGCTGTGAGACAAATTAAAACATACTTGAATGAACACTTCAAATTAATTTGACATATAGAAACACAAGTAGCATATCCATAAACCAAGAGTTTAAACAAAGAAATGTACCTGAAGCAGATTATGATTATGACAAAATAAAAGAACAGAATAAGCAGAAAAGCTCATTACTCCTTCTGAAGGGCAGGACCAGATTGAAGCACACATTGGAACCTGTACAAATTTATTGTTAATAAGCCTAAAGTCTCTAGTAGAGAACATGTAATTGATTCACTCGACTTAAAAGTACACATTGTGGGTGGCCTCACGAGATAAGCCTTTTGGAAAAACTCCGAGTAACCCCTTGACTTGATGAATTGCCCCAATGTTTCATTGTGATCAATGTCTGGGTTGTTGTCAAGCTCTTCAAGATACCTGCATTAATAAGAAACCATGAATAACAGTCCTAAAGGAATTTTCAGTCTGTTCATCTTAAATGTGTAAAGAAGTCTTTTGGAGTTGAACATCTATACCCCGAGTACCTCAGAAGTCAATGAACAGAATATGCACTGGTAAGGTCAAAATGCATAAACCCCAATGGTTGGCTCAAGTGGGTAAGAACTTGTCCTCGATGCCTCAGGAAGCATCGGGTCTAAGGTTCGAATTCTCTTGGGTGCAAACAATTCCTTGGGTCAACTAGGAGAAAGGTCAAAAGGCATAGGCCAATTAAGTGCATATCATCATAAGCGCTCCTCGAAGAATATGGAAACAGGATACTATGTACCATTTAGTAATAATGTCTAATAATGTCTCTTTTCTTGCTACTGGGGTACATCTGAGAGATCCCTGTCAATAGAAGGGGTCCTAAATCTCATATTTTGATGGTGGACCTTGACGCAACTATAAGGTTGTTCCTGGGTGACAAAGAGGTGTGAAGTTGTGGCTCGAATTTTGTTCAGACCTCGGTGGTATTGCGACCCGGTTTTGATCTGAAAAATGGTCTGAGTTTTTTGACCCATTTTCTCTTGTGGGTCGTGGACCCGGTCCCAGAACTATTGTAGTCCAATATATAAGGGTGTTTAGGGTTTGAGGTGTGTTAAAGATAGGACATTGATAGCCGCAGATTCGAGACTGTTAGAGAGAGGCAGGGGGGTTTGGGGGCTGAAACTTGTAATCTATTGTTTTTTGCATGATGAAATCTTTTGCTAGATCTTTATCGTAGATGTAAGCTTTAAGCCGAACCACGTAAATCTTTGTATTCTGTGTATGGAGTTGTTTATTTTTCTGTTGTGATTCTTGATTGTGTTCTTGGTTCGCAATATTTGTCATAATGGAAGGTCATGGATGCAAAATAGAAAACATCCTCTCTGTGCACTCAGAGATAAGGCTGTGTAAATCTAACGCTGCCGTGACCTTGAATAGCAAAAGTCTCATGCACTGGACTAGCTAGTTTGAGAGCGGGTCTTATCGCAACAGGTAAAAAGCTTAATTGTGACATGGAGCTCACAGATTTGAAACAGGAAACAATGTCCCTGCATACAGGAGATTAGCATTAAGCCTGCGTAATCTGACCCACTCTATACCTCACAAGAAGACTCATGCACTTTTAATAATAGGGACACTTGAAATGGTTAAAAGAAGGGTAAATTACACTCACACCTCCTCAAGTTAGGCCTACCTACACATGATGGTCGAAATAAGCCTTTGTTACACTGACCACTCCAGTCACGGCAAACCGACTTTACTTTTTGTATAAATTTTCATATTTTCCCTTAGTTGATTTAATAATATTTTAAAGAAAAATGTGACAATGTGAAAAGACCAAACTACCCTTACTTGGAAGACCTTGCATTTCTTTATACTCTCCCTTCCCGCCAGCACCCAAACCAACAGACCCTTAGGCGAGTTAGGCGGTTGCCTAAGGCCCCAACCAATTGAAAAGCCCCAAAAAAATTTATTTTCATATACTATATAACCTTCTTAAAATTTTTATTTCTTTCCAATAGAGAGATTTAATAGTGGGCCCGAAAGATGTCTATACTTAGCTCAACTCTTTTTTTCTCTCTCTCTTTTCGTCATTCCATGTTTTTTATTCTCCTCTATCATTATCATTACACCAGCCGTAATTATGGTAAAACTTTCCATATATATATATATATATATATATTTATTAACCCGAGATATCCGGGATGGCATGAACCCTTAAGGCCCCTCAACAACCCGACTAATCTCCGAGAACCCGGAAGGGCACCTTCCCACTTGGGCCGAGTAAGTCACTGCAAGGGCAGCGGAAGCTAGCCACAAAAAACACCCAGCGGGGCTTGAACCCCAGACCTTGGGCTTGCTAAACTCCAAAGTCCAGTGAGTAAACCGCTGGGCCATATCCGAAGTGGATAGTAAAACTTTCCATATTTGAATCATTATTTACCTGATGATTTACACCAGCAATAATTATGCTTCTTTTCTCTTCTCCACTCATCACAATCTAACTCCACTTCAAGATTCATTTGAAGAATTTTTTGGGAACATTGGACCGGATTTTTCTAAATCATATTCTATTGTTCTTTACCTTAAATTATTTCGTAGTCTTCCAAAGTTTTGTTATCATTAATATTTTGTTTGTGAGTTGTGACCATTTTTATTTATATTATTGAATATGTCTACTAGAAAGTAAGAATCCGGACATAAAAAACTAAAAGAAGAGAAGAATAGATAAACTAATTCAATCTAAAAAAAAAGGTATTGTTAAATTTGTTACAACTAATAATTCAAACATAACAAAAAATTTAGGTGAAAATTCAACAAATGAACAACCAAGCAATCTAAAAGAATTAGAAGCCATTAGAAGCCATCTAAAAGAATTAGAATATTATACAATAGTGTGAAAGGCCACTTTTATATTTTTCGCCTATGGCCTCAAAGTAAATTGAGCCGCCCCTACCAGCACCTCCTCCCATATGCAGGTAAACCTCCTATAGTGAAATTTCAGAATTTCAAACGTATGGTAAGTGGATCCTTTTCATTACATATATATATATATTCTGAGTACAGAATTAAAATGCTAATGCCCATGATTGAGTAATCCAAGACTGCTATTCAAGTCGGTTGGGCAAGTTCGGAGGGCCTCAAGGTACCCAAGCTTTGTACTTGAACCAAGTTTTCCAATGTGCACTCAAACCTTTAAACCCAATACTCAAAAATTGGGTTGGCCTCTGATTAATTGATCACTCTTCATAAATATATATTTTAAAAATAAAATAAAATGTTTACTGCCGTTGTAAACATTACACTGAACACAGCTCTTCAATACTCAAAAGAGCGGATTCTAGACTACACCAAACTTGCTACCTTCAATAACCCCAAAATTCAACGCACATTATGAAAAAGTGTTGCATTGTTATGTAAACATCAAATGAATTCAATTGTAAAAGGATTAAACAATGATTTGACTTACGGAGACAATTGAAGTGTGGTAGAGAGAGAGAGTCTACGTCTAGAGAGAGAAGAATGAGAAGTTGAAGCATTGGACGGATCTGATACGAAGTTGGTATCCTTCTTTTGTGTTCTGAATTGTTTTGGTGCCAATCCTCAGAGTACTGTATCAATGGCAGACAGAGGAATGGCAAAGAATAAATGGAAATGGATGCCATTGATTTTGAGAGAGAGCCGTGGACGATAAAACGGTTAGGATCGGGTTTGGGTGTGAATTTATTGAGGTCGATGGAGTTGATTCAGACGTTCGCGCACTCCTTTTGTTTTCTAGGTTTATATGATTCTTATAATTCTTTTAACAGAATTTACATTCACTACGTCATGCTAGATGTAATTACACAAAATAATAAAAATAGGGCTTAATATCACCGTGTACCCTTTCAAGTTGGGATAATTGGACGTGTGTGATTGACTGTACCGCCGCCGCTGGGGGGGGGGGGGGGTTAATATCACCCGTGTACCCTTTCAAGGATAATTGGATGCGGGATTGGTTTGTTGTTTCTTAGGCATTGTTTCGATCCAGAGCATCGCTTTGGGTATTTAACAGCTGCTGAGGAACCCTCTGCTGAGGAAGAGGGTTGTTGAGTCCGGGGCGCCAGGGGTGGATCTTCGTTCTGGCGCTCGGGATGTGGGACGATCGACGGATCGTTCTCCCAAGCGTTAACTTGAAGTTCTTCATTTTCCTGGTGTAGAACATTTATTTGCGTTATGTTGGCTTCGTTAGCCTGTCTCAGGGCATTGATTTGTTCGGTACTAGCTTTGTTGGCTTATCGGAGGACTTCAAAGTGTGTATGCATGCTCGTGCAGCGTCTGATCCTGTCGCCATTCCGGAGCGATGTCCCATGAAAGTGATAGTAAAAAGGTTTTTTTGTAAACTTTCTCACAGACGGGGTCAAAGTGTAGGTGCAATTTTTCAAACCCGAACACTTAAAAAAATAAATCAAAGAAATTATGAACAATATGAAAGAGACAATGGACAATTTTGGCAACAGAGAACAATATGATTGGAATTCGATGTCTTCTTCTTCTTATTCATGCTTTACTTATAAGCTTGTACAGAGAATCACCAAGAGCTGTTGAACCAAGTGCTAAAGTATGGGTGTTTTGTATCCATTGAGCAAAGACAGGTTGCAATTGTATAGCGGTATCTGAAAACATATCTTGAGGGCGCCCTAAAGCGCTCATGGTATCATAATGTCTTTTTCGGGAGCTAGAAGAAATACATCTCAGGTACATCAATTAGTAGGTATGAGGGGATTAATGTCGGATCCCCAAGGACAAATGATTGATTTACCTATTCAAAGGAATTTAGGTGAAGCCGTTACTGGCAGTTTTTATGAACGTGGGCATTTTTATAATGACCCACTCCACCACATGGTATGATATTGTTTACTTTGGGTCTGAACCCATACGGTTTTGCTCTTAAATTTTACCCCAAAAGGCTCATACCAATTAGAAATGATACACTTACATATAAGCACTTCACCTTTCCTCTACCCATGCGATGTGGGACTGTACACTCGTAATTCGCCAATGTGGTAGTCTAACAGTGTCTCTTGCACCCGCCCACGGCACACTCGCCCACAAGGTTATCATAATCCACCCCCCTTGGAGGCCCGACGTCCCCGTCGGCACACTTCTGGCTGGGTCAGGCTCTGATACCATTTGTAACGACCCACTCCACCACATGGTATGATATTGTCCGCTTTGGGCCTGAGCCAACCCGGTTTTGCTCTTAGATTTTACCCCAAAAGGCCTCATACCAATTGGAGATGACACACTTACATATAAGCACTTCACATTTCCTCTACCTAGGCTATGTGGGACTGTGCACCTGTAACTCGTCAGTGTGGTAGCCTGATAGTGTCTCTTGCACCCGTCCACAAGGTTATCACAATCCACCTTATGGCCTTAAACTTGCGGCCCTCTCTTTTATAGTGGGCATTATGGAAATTGGGATTTTGCCGTCCATGGGCCATTCCCTGGTCCATTTTTAATCAAGTGGAGCATCCTTCGTTAATTGGGCCGACTTGACTTTCTCGTGGACCTTTTTATTAGTTTATAGCCTGTGCTGGGCTTCAAGATGATTTTGGCTAATAATGGGCTGTACGCCCATTGATACGTGGCGTATTATAATTGGTGAGGAATTTTCTCTCCACACTTTGCCCCCAATTCCTTTTCTGAATTGAATTCATATATGGAATTGTAACTGCTTTCAGGAAGTGGAAAAGTTTTTGCAACTGTTACTGCCTATCATTACCATTTGTGCTCCCAATTTTTGGGGTCTCGTGCTCGCCTCTTCATTTTTTACTTCACTTTGCCTATATATTGTGTTCTTATCATTCGGGTGTTCGTATTTGTGATCCCGTTTATGAGTTTAAGCAAGAATCTGACCGCTGTTGCGTCATCTACTTTCATCTATCAAGGTTAGTCTTTCTTCCATTCCCTCTTTCTGTCATTATGAGATAAGAAAGTAGCGAACGAACTCACAGTGCTCATATATCTGAATCTGAGTCGGGGACTGCGGCGGTGAGTTCGAGTGGTTATGCTGAGGTCCTATAATCATCCCTCTGGATATTGTGGAAAGGAAAGTCTTTTCCAATTGCCCAATTGAGAAAGAAAAACCGTGTTCCTTCTAATGTTACCTTTAAGGAGTATGATCATGATTTAAACTTTAGTATCAGCGAGGGTTTGGAAGAGGGCGAGATGCTCTTCTCGGCTTTACACTTTCCTGCCTTTTGATTTCCCCTTAACCCTTTCTATCTTCGGGTCCAATCGATGTTGAATTTGGCTCCCCTTCAGGTTGACCCTAATTTTTTTCGCATCCTCTCTTGCCTTTTTGTTTTGAATAGGGTTCGACGTTTGATCTTTAATCTTGCTGATCTTTTATTCTACTATACTCTTGATAGAATGAAAGGTGGAGAGGGTAAGTTCCACTTTCATTCTAAACTGGGTAGAGCCCTTTTCTCTCATCTTAACACTTCTGACAAGAAGTGGAAAGATAAAATTGTTAAAGTTGGAGGGGCATGTCGCTTTTCGTCTGCTCTGGATCTATTTGATCGATCGAGTTTTCATACTCCATCCGTTCTTGCATTCGATGATTTGGGCGAGTCTTCTTGCTTTGTCTGTGTCGTAAAACATTTTTATTATATTTATGACTTCTTGGATCACATAACTGACTTTTTCTCTTCAAAATTTGCAAATAGCCGTCTTGAGAATTTGCAGGCGAGAGTTTGGATCGACGTTCCTTCTGCTAAGGTCCTTTTTTCCTCTTCTCTTCTTGAGACAATCTCTAGGGATTACAATCTCTAGGGATTCTCCCGTGATTGTTCAAAATCCCGAGGAGCTTATCAACCTTGACGGTTCTAATACCGAGGCTAGCCTTGTATCGCTTGCCCTTCTTCCTTTTTCTCAGTCAACGATGGAACTTCCCCCTCCAAAACCTCGTATGACTAGGAAAGAGAGGGAGGCAGCTGCTAAAATTGCTGCAGGAGAGGAAAAACACCCTCGTTGAGGCGGGCAAGTTCTTTTCTTCTCAAATTAGTGGGTGGTGGCTCATAATTAGTGATGCATGCTAGGAAAATACTATTGTAATATTCATCACATTTTTATAAGCGTGCATCACTAATTGGTGGGAACTGATTTACTTTTGCGTATGGGAGGATTTTGATCCCATCTTCCTAAAAGAATTTTCTGTGGGAGAGTGGCCAAAATCTTTAGTGGAATCCTATTATCCTAACTTGAAAGGTTACACGGTGATATTAAGTTCTGCTAAACAGGATGTATTGAACTCATAATTCGATTTCACTAAAGATTTTGGCCACTCTCCCATGGACCATTCTTTTAGGAAGATGGGATCAAAATCCTCCCATGCGCAAAAGTAAATCGGTTCCCACTAATTAGTGATGCACGCTTATAAAAATGTGATGAATATTACAATAATATTTTCCTAACATTTATCACTAATTGGAGGGGACCGAGCACTATTGTGTTGGAGAGAATTTTAATGGAAGATAGCAGTTGTATTTCATTCTTGCGTGTTTCACAAATCTTCTCAAAAAAACCTTCCTCAACGTTACAGATGAGTATAATCTTTACATCTTAGTTCATCCTCTCTCACAGATCATTGTTGGGGAAGGTGGGGCAATTCAGTTTCATTTCTTCTACTGAATTACTGAATTGGGTTTTGCAATTGGGTGATATATTGATGTATTAAGTATTAACCAGTAAATTATTTTGGAGTTGGACTTGTTGACATGGTAACCAGATAAATTAAATGGTCCAAATTGGTATATTTAAACTTCAAATTATTGGGATTTATTCTTAAATTTGATTTTTCTATCTAATTTTATGACTTATTTTTTCTTAAAAAAAATTGAATCTTTATATTATAAAAGAATTGTCTGACGGTGTTTGCAGAGTTTGTGGGAATGGTGGAGAGACAATTGTCCACCCACAAATGTTAAGACAATTTGGAAGATGGGTAGTGGTTTGTTAGCCCCTTGACGGTTGTCCAAGGGAAGACATGGGCATTTCAAGGCCATGCCATGTCTTAGGAATACTTTGGCTTTGATTAGACAGCCATGAGGGTGCTCAGTGGGTTGTCAGCGTGCACAAGATGCTCAGCGTGCACACAAGATGCTTAAAAGGATGCTCGGCGTGCACTGGGGGTGCCCAGTGGCACTTTCGTAAATATGGCGAAAAGTGAAACTTGGAGTTTTGACTCGGGATCTTTATGGGAGATACCTTGAGTCCATAGAAGCTGGTTGGCGCAGACGGCACTCAATTTGGATGTCGGGAAAGGTCTGAAAGGCCATTATGACTCCTCAAGCATGGGTGATGTTTACTCCTGTCAGAGTGCTGGATTTCCTTAAGACTATATTAGGGGGGGTCTGTTGAGCGCATCGGTTGGGCTATGGCATGGCTTGCTTAGAGGGCTTAGCCAACGTGCATGGGCACGTGTTGCACCACTCCAAGATGGTTGCACAAGTGGGGAGCATCCAAGATATTGAAGGGCAAACAAGTGTGCACCGACACGCGCGCTGGGGTGCAGCGGCGTGCGTGAGGGCGTGCAGGTGGGCGCGCGGGTAGGCGTCCAACCTAGTGTGCGCCAGCGTCTAGCTCGGCTTGCACATGGGCGTCCAGGTGGGCGTATAGCCACGGGCGCATGAGGGTTCAAACATGGCGCGCGAAGAAGGGCACTAGTGTGTGCGCCGGCGTGCACTTTGGTGTGCATCCGAGCGTGCGCACTGGCGTGCATGGC